CAGAGTGAGTGTTACCGTTGTGGAGCTCTGTGATACAACACACCTTGCACAGAGTGAGTTTTACTGCTGTGGAGCTCTGTGATACAACACCTTGCACATAGTGAGTGTTACTGCTATGGAGCTCTGTGATACAATAACATACCCTGCACAGAGTGAGTTTTACTGCTGTGGAGCTCTGTGATACAATAACATACCCTGCACTTAGTGAGTGTTACCGCTGCGGAGCTCTGTGATACAATAACATTCCCTGCACAGAGTGAGTGTCACCGCATTGAGGACATCCAATATCCAGCGTCAGATAACCGACCAAAGGTTCTGTACAGCCACAGATGGCAGACTTAGAGCTGCAAAGTGCAAAAGGGACAGGGGGGGAGCTGACTGGAGGCCATCTACTTTGGCTCCAGATCCAACACCTGGCTCCAGGTGCCACTGTAAGGAGAATAACCCCAGCTTCAGTCTGATACCCGCAAGCAGCCTATTGCACACCGGCTGAGCAGAAACTGCCTTTCCCGTCCTACTCACCGCCAGGAGCCTGAACTCGTGCAGCTGTTGAATGCAGCCTGGCAACAGGGAGATATGCTCTAATGAGGCACCCAGGCAGGAGATAGACACCACACGAGCAATGCCTTCCTACACAGAGCAATCCCCTGGCTTGGGGCACAGCCCCGCTCGCCCCTAGGCCGACAGGGGTTATCCAGGCCTCACGGAGACAACTCTCACTGCGGCCAAAGTTTCCATGTTAGTCCTACGCCGATCACCTGCACTGGCAAAGGCTGCCTGAAGAACAGCCCGCTAGCAGATAGATGCTGACACGGAGGGGAATATTCACTTCCATAGCGAAGCACTCTTATGCTGCCTTGGGGGATCCTGACGGCAGTGGTGCTGGGGAGGTGCAGGAGACGGTGGAAGCATGGACTCTTGGTGTGGGGGTCTGATGGACTGATTCAGACTCTGAGTGCCCACAGTGCCAAAGAACGATATGCTGGTGAGTTGGATCCGACCCGGGGAAAACTGATAGAGGATAGGCTTCCTAGGGGACCTACAATAGCAAGCATGGGAACAGCTCTCTCATATTACAACTGACACTGCTTTACTCAAACCACATCATGCAGCAATATTGCTTAGTCTGTTCCTATCTTTATAATACAGTTTGCCCACATTGCTTAATGACATGTGCTCCAAGTGTCGCTAATTCCAGGTTTCCTAATGTTTAGCCACTGCTTGTAAGATGACAGGTTGCACAGCTTTACTGATGAGCCTGCTACTATCCTCCCTGACATGTAATTTTCCCCTTTGGCTATTAGTTGCACAGTTGGCTTTACCTTACTGATACCTAATGTAGTCCGACCCGGAAACACGATTTAAATGCTAAATTGCATATCATATATTGCATATCTGCGCACAATGATTCAGTCAGATTTGAGGCCAATCCCTTATTGTCTGTGTAGCGCTTAACAATTTGTTTGTTTCCCAATGCCTCTCACATGTCATGTCTTTGCTTAACACAAAGTTTATTGACACAGTAAATACTTCCAAAAGTGGCCATGCCCCTTAACGTTCAACCACTGATACTTACTTGTACTTCACCTGAGGAATGTGCCATTATTGGAAAATCTAATGTTCTTTTATGGTTATTCGCTGCTGATATGGGATATTGCTCTCTACTGCCTCATTTAGCCCCTGCGATGTGTTCCAAGCGTCACTAATCCCTGGTTTCCTAATGTTTAGCCACTGCGTGTAAGATGACAAGTGCACAGCTTTTCCCCCTTTGGCTATTAGTTGTAACTCATTACCACCATTGGCTTTACCTTAACGATACCTAATGTAGTCTAACCCGGGAACACGATTTAAATGCTAAATTGCATATCATATATTGCATATCTGCGCACAATAATTCAGTCAGTTTTGAGCAGGCCTGGACTGGCCATCGGGCACACCACCCCCTGCCAGTCTATGCAGGGCTGGCACTGTCCGAGTGCCGGCACCACTGTACTCCATGACGGGCCGGTGAGGATATCAAAGATTTCCTGCACCGGCCCACATGTAGTATATTGCGGCAAGAGAGGGAGGGAGACAGGAGAGGAACCCGGAGGAGCTCTAACTTGCAGATCTGCCAGTTTCCTCTCACGCGATTCGGAGCTTAGCCATGGCAATGCTCCGGGTCTCACGAGATTGAACTCTAGCCCCACAGGCTAGAGTTCCCTCACCACTAGCACCACCAGGGAGGGCAGCAACATGATCCCCCTCCTCGGCTAAAGGTAAGAAGGGAGAGGGGATATAATCACTCACAGCACCCTCACACACACACACTGCACCCCTGACACTCTCAGCACCCTCACCCACACACACTACACCCCTGACACTCTCAGCACCCTCACCCACACACCGCACCCCTGACACTCAGCACCCTCACCCACACACCGCACCCCTGACACTCTCAACACCCTCACCCACACACCGCACCCCTGACACTCTCAGCACCCTCACCCACACACCGCACCCCTGACACTCTCAGCACCCTCACCCCACCCCTGACACTCTCAGCAGCCTCACTCACACACACTGCACCCCTGACACTCTCAGCACCCTCACCACACCCCTGACACTCCCAGCACCTCACTCACACACCACCCTGGCCTCTCAGCACCCTCACTCACTGCACCCCTGACACTCTCAGCACCCTCACTCACACTGCACCCCTGACACTCTCAGCACCCTCACTCACACTGCACCCCTGACACTCTCAGCACCCTCACTCACACACTACACCCCTGACACTCTCAGAACCCTCACTCACACACACTGCACCCCTGACACTCAGCACCCTCACTCACACACACTGCACCCCTGACACTCAGCACCCTCACACTCTCAGCACCCTCACAGCACACACTACACCCTTACCCACACTACATCCCTGACACTCTCAGCACCCACACACACTGCACCCCAGACACTCATAGCACCCTCACTCACTCACACTGCACCCGTGACACACAAAACCCTCACACACACTACACCCTCACATGCACATTGCACCCTCACGCAAACAGCACCAATCACTCATGCACCCATCACACACACACACACACACACACTGCACAATACTCTTTCCTGGCATTTTTGTCTCATGGTACCCCATCTATGGAGACACCGGAAACAAATTTCAAGCAAACACAGTGCAAGCATGTTATTAAATTTGCTTGTGCTGTGCAGACTATATACAGGGTCTTTTTCTCATGCTAGAGCTCTTCAGCAGAGCTCTGCACATGGTCTGCCCTGGAAGAGCTTTGAACCAACATGCTCACTTTGTGATGAGGCGTACTTGTCATTGGTGATGACAAAACACACCCTATCGGGCCCCGCCCCCTTTTCTGTGAGCCACTGTGATTAAAGGAAGAGCTTTGAACCAACATGCTCACTTTGTGATGAGGCGTACTTGTCATTGGTGATGACAAAACACACCCTATCGGGCCCCGCCCCCTTTTCTGTGAGCCACTGTGATTAAAGGAAGAGCTTTGAACCAACATGCTCACTTTGTGATGAGGCGTACTTGTCATTGGTGATGACAAAACACACCCTATCGGGCCCCGCCCCCTTTTCTGTGAGCCACTGTAAACTCTTGGCACCCAGACCACTTCTGCCCATTGGAGTGGTCTGGGTGCCAACTCCCACTACCCTTAACCCTGCAAGTGTAATTATTGCAGTTTTTTTTAATAAACTGCAATAATTACTTTGCAGGGTTAACTCCACCTCTAGTGGGCACTTCCTGCTCTATAGCTAGAGCGTTGCAGGATGTCCTCCCGCTGCGTGAGGACCTCCAGCGTCGCTCATTTCCCCATAGGAAAGCATTGAAAAGTATTTTCAATGCTTTCCTATGGGGAGCTCTAATGCACATCCCTTCAGCAATCGGGGATTGGGGGGTTGGGAGGGAGAGGGGACCTGCAGTGCCAGGAAAACTGATTATTTTCCTGGCACTGGAGTTTCCCTTTAAAAAATGCCCGGGCCGATTTTTCTTCCCATTCCGGCCCTGGATTTGAGGCTACTCCTTTGATTGTCCATGTAGCGCTTACCAATTTTTTTTGTTTCCCCGATGCCTTTCACGTCATATATTTGCTTAACATAAAGTCCATTGGCACAGTACTTTGTCTATAAGGACGCCTGCTGTTGATCCCGGTTACGCGATGCTTCTAAAAAGGCAAAGTCTTTAAATGAGACAGTTGTCTATAAAGGATGAATGTCACTATAATGACTGCATTCTAGCAAGAAGGGGTCTGGAAGAGCTCAGAGAACATAGTACACTACAGGGCTTCTTTACAGATTACAGAGCAATTTACTGTGACCCTATAAATTACTTAACTGTACTTCTGTATGCAGTCATTATGCCCATTAGGGATGTGCATGGGCAAAAAATTCTGTTCAGCACTTCCGAAATTCGGGTCTTCGGCAATTTGGTTCGGTACTTCCGGAACTCAAGACTTCAGCAATTCCATAACCTTACCCCTAACCCCACTAGGTTAGGGGAAGGTTGGGGTAAGGGTTAGGTTTAGATTCCTGTCATCATTCCCTTAATTCTACCTCCCTCACCTGTTTTGCCACTTTTCAGAAATCCGAAGCACTTCAGCACTTCCGAAATTCGGACATTTGGAAGCATCCGAAAGTCCGATTTGCCGAAATTCATCCGAATTTTCATTCGGACCGAAACCAATTGCACATGTCTAATGCCCATATCCAAAAATTTTTACCATCTAAATGTTACTTCCAGGGAAAGTGTGCATGTAGTGTACTGCTGTTCACAAAGGGGACTGATTATTTACCAACGTGCCTGGCACATAGGCCATGCTTTATTCAGACCTGGTTCCTTGTCCTAGTACCTCTGATTGTATACTTTTTTACATTACATTAAATGTTTTACTCTACATTGATCTCAGCATTATTTCTTTTAATACAACATTCAAATGCAGAAAAAAACGACAAACAATAAAATAAAAGACAACAAATCAATATTTACCTGTAATTTATTGTTCATTTTAATATACAAAAGAGATAAACTTCAAATAGTCCTTCCTAAAATGTCCTCCTATCGGTTATGATGTGGCTGCTTCACACAGGGCAAACACTACATTCATAATTATTTATCCTGGCTCCCAGTGTACATAATTAAAGCAGTCAAACTGGAACTACAGTATAAAGGGACAAACGCTTCACAGCAAATGTATGTACTATGATACATTATTCTCTCTCCAAAAAACCCCAAAACCCTTCATGTCTTCACTGCAATACAATGAACGTACGGTTTTACAGCCGATGTGGTCATTGGTAGCTCTCTAGCTGTTGGTCTTACAAATGTTCCCTTTAAGCACATCTGGAGAGTAGTCCAGCCTTAAAACAACAACAACCACAACACATGTTTTGCATACAAACAAAAGTTAGGTTTTACTTAGATGATTGCTCTTCTAAAAACCCTTCTTTTTTGTTTTCATGCTAGAACTCTCAAACTATGCATACAGGGAACATTGCCTTCGTCTACAGTTTAAAACAGGGCTGCATTTCACTTGAGTTCTGTAGGTAGGTACATACCTAGTGAGCCATTTTACTGGAAACGTGGGGGCTTCTAGGCATTACTAATTGGTATTCACGATCAGTTTCACATATGTCCTGCCCCAACCCATCACACTCAAAGAAATACAGCTTCTGCCCCATAGATGGGTGGGGTATCTATTATTGTGGCTTATAAGCATCTGTGACCTTGGCTGCAGAGCTACCATTTTGCCACCCCCTATTTTATCAATATAGACATATCTACTGCTACACAGCAGATATGTCTAGATCAATATATCTATTGAGAAAAAGTCCATTTGTTTAATACATGTTACAGCAACAGGCTCAAATGTATATATAGGTATATATAGAATCTTTTAAACAGTTATTTTAGCATTACGTTTGTTAAATCAGTAGTATAAACTATCTCTGCTACATTGGTTTTTTTTTATAGCTACAACAGTGAAATATAACATACAATCTTGTACATTTCACTTCTCATCGTATTCAAACAGTACTGGTGGATTGGAACCAAGGATTGGGCATCTTTTGTCTTATTTAACCATCGGAAAGACTTCTTGAAATGCTGTTTTGTATAATGCTCTTTTTTGAAAAAAAAAATTCAATCTTTTAATATAAAAAAACCAAAAAAAAAACAAACAACTAAATAAACAACCATGATTTGAAAACTTTTTTTTTTTTTTAAATATCTATATAAAAAAACTAAACACCTTTTAAGAGCGTTCGGTATCTTTTAAATAATTTGATGAAGTCATCCCGACACAGATGGTAAATTCTTTTCTCATGGCTATTTAGACAAAGATTTTTACAGATGCCAAGATTGTTCCATAAGTATGTAAGACAGTGCTGTTTAAATGACTGTTACATTCACAAATGTGCTTTTAAAACAAAAACTGAAAAAGTTGAAGTCTTACGATATCAAAAATGTAGAGGAATGTTTAATAGGATCAATAACTGTTGCATATATTGTATGGTTTTCCGTTTTTGACAGCTGTTTTCACCTCTGGGAGACTGATCCCTAGTCTGCTTTTAACCTGGGAACTTGCAGGGTGGAAATGTGAAAGGTTGATGTATGTATTGAATACCCTTATTCCTAAAGGTGTCCCCCTGGAAGTGGGTGAAACAGCATTCTATTAAAAAGGGAGGTTTGTAAAGAGAGCCCAGGGGTTATATATAAATAAATAAAAAAGAAATTCTAGCGCTTTTAACGAGAATAGTCCATTAATTTCTATAGTGATTGTGCCACTCTCACAAATACACAATCCTTTAAGGTACTCAAAACTCTAAAACGAGCCCCACAGTTTAACTGTGGATAAACTGACAATTAAATTTATACACACCACAAATAGGTGTCCATGATCACAGAGTGATTAGTGATTTAAAGATGAAGAGATTTTTTCTAATTTTATATATATATATTCTGCACCAAAATCTCAATCTTAATAATTTTATTTGATTAATAATAGTGAGAAATATTGTTACTTTGAGTTCCATGGCATTTTTACAGACCTCCCCTTGTGTTTGAGTTTAAATATGAATATTCCTGTAAGCTTCTTGATAACTATCAAAGATCAATATTGAAGTTACTCTGAAATTTCACCAGACATGCAAGTTTTTCAATACAGATAAACTAAAGGTTTATGAATGGCATTGTGTGGACTGAGAATTAAGTGAAAATAAACCGCTAATAATTTAAACTTCTCTAAAAAGATCACGGCCTGAGTTTTATGGGAATCCTTGAGTAGATCATTTTCATGGCTTTTTGAAATTGAATGGGTTGTCTCGTCTAATTATTAAATGCAATTTAATTGGATTTGGAAAACAATAAAAATATATTTTATGGTTTGAATTTTGCATGTAACCACAACTCACTGTCCAAAGAATAAACACATTAAAAGTCCAATACATTTGATAAAAACACTGCTGAATCTTCAATTTTCTTTCCCTGATTAAAAAATATCTTGATTTAAACTGTTGTGGTATGTAAAGAGGAATCTCATGACTCCACTGCCCCCCTCAAAAAAAAAATAAATATATTATGAATAGCTTTGATAATCCTAGAGAACAAATATTAAAGTCTTGTTTTTGTGTGCTTATCATTTTAAAAGTAATTATGTCGTTTCCATGTCACAGGGATAAACATTCCATTTGCAGTTTGTCTAGCCCCTGCATACATTTTACAATGACATTTTTATTTTTGTTGGACATATTAAGCTATAACATTTGTTAGTCCTTACAAAACGGCCATAGTATCCGGTTCTGTTTGGAGATAATTTTCCACACTATAAGGCGATTATCTCTCACTGCTGGAGTAATCTCAATTTTACAATCGGTAAATGAGATATTAACAATCCATCTCATAGATTGAGTTTGTGTTAATTTGGGTTTTTTCGGTTTGCAAGAGTGGAAAAAAAAGACAATCAAAAGGAAATGTCAAAAAGAACGATGATTTTGTAAGAATCATAGACTCTTTATGACCATATATAAAAGCAATGACTCCACGGTTTTATTTTTAAAAAGTTGCACTGGGCATATATGTGGTTTGTGTATGTATTTGTGCATGCAGAGTGGACTGTGATCCCATTTACCTCAGGATATTGATTAAATTTTTCTAGTTTTTACCTCGTCTACTTTATTGTGGATTAGGTGAATCTTTCCGGTGTTAAAATTGAGGTATAACTTTTAAATATGTTCACCAAAAAGGAGGATATTTGTTAGTAAATTATTTTCAGTTTTTCTGATGACTTTATGATGTAGGACGGTACTTTTGGTTCGTACATCCAAATAGGTGTGAGATAAACCTCCACTAAATCACACATTTGAAGACAAAAGTGGAAATGGAACCACCAATGCAAAGCCACTCCTGTGAGGAGTTTGCAGAGGGAGTTGATGGTTAGCACTTAGATATGATTATATTAATATAGGCCAAAATATAATCAGTGGATGGGAAAAAATATGTTCAAAGAATTGACAAATGTATGTTAGCAGTCAAAGCACCCACAACTCGTGGTTGGACTCCAGTAATGTGTATTTATATAGGAATATCAATCTAAAAATGTTTCCAAAATCATTTTTTTTACCCCTTCTATTTTGCATACACCAGAATTGTTAACCAAATTAGCTGATGAAGGAATAAGCCACTATCTATTGTAATGGTGTGCTTTATAATTGACCTGTGAACTTAGTAGACCTAGCCAAGAATGAAACCTGTTACCCATAGGTCCGACCTTAAGGCAGTGCATTAATCAACCAATCTTTCATAACAGCAACAAGCAAATGGCAACTTATTTGAACACCTATGATCTTTTAAAAATGTGTGCCTCAAATGGCTGGTTATTAACCTTTTGTGACAGGGACCTACCATAAGCATGGTAACACACATCTCGGTTTTAGTATGAGTTCAGTGTTCCATTCTTCAACTATAAAATGTTAAAACAAATTCTGCAAAACACCATCAAGCTCTACACAGTGTCACAGGGATGGCCAATGCCCTGAGGAAAGCAGTACCACTAGAGTAAACAATTTAGAGCGAGTAGCACCAGGGAATGGACAATAAAGATGTGCCAGCCCCAACCACCAGAGAGACTCACTGAACTATTTTTGGACCACTGTCAAATTATAAATGGTGCTTGAATGATTATAGGGTAACTTATTAGTCTCTAGATGTTGAAGGGAGTACATACTTTCAGCTATTACTAAATGACGCCTATAACCCAGGTTAGAACAGGAACCTGGTTTGAAGTAGGAAAGTCAGATATAAGGCAACATCTGGAGTCAACTGGTACTAGAACATATCCACTTCTTTGTCACTTTCACAGACCTTACCCAGGGCGTGCGCTCTGTCTGGTTTAAGTCTCATAATTCAAAGAGGTTATGGTAACAAGGTGTCCTGAATTAACGCTGTGCTGACATAAGCTCTGATCTTTGCTCTACTGCAACTATACCACAAGAGGATGATGCATTTGAGAAGTCCCATATATGATACATTATTTTTCATTTTTTTTTTTTTTAGAGGGGTGACAGGCATGCCTAGCCCATGTTATGTATATAACACTTCAGTTCACTACCAAATATAGGACTTTTTTGTTGTTGAAGGTAAACGACAAATTATCACACAGCAGACATCCAACACAATGCCATTCAATAATTTTACACAATTTCTTTAGAATGTTGGGATTTTTCCAAAAAACTTTTCAATAGGTTTCATTTTCATTTATTTCACACGTCAAAAACTTGCATCAACAATTTCCTGTCTCGAATGGCAAAAATTCCAAGATAGCAACACTGTTTAACGTGAGATTTGAGGTAATTGGTTTACACAATAGCTGGATCACAATAGTCAGAAACCAAAGAATGAGATGAGATAATGAAAACGGCTAAATCGACTTCCATAACAATACAAAACAAAATATATATATATGTAAAGCAATATAAGATTGAGATGTTTACAGCAGTTGTTCCCTCTTCCCCTTCCAATGAAACAAAGGCACAAAAACATATCAGTGTTCAACTTCAACCCTTCGAGTGTTTGGAGGGCAGCGCAATGCGTCACTCTCCATTCCAGCACTCAAAGTGTTAAACATATAGAAAAAACTGTTCCGTCACAGAGGAAATGTCAAAAAAGGTATTTGAGGTTTTTTTTATGATTTTTTTTTTTTTTTTTTAATCCATGAGATATAATGTAGAGGTTAAACAAGAGCCCGGAACACAAAGACAATATCTGAACAATCCATTTCTTTTTTACACAATATGTAATATTACAATGTAGAGGAGTCAAATAACATTCATAGATAAAAAGTTATAAAGTGATAATGCACTTATATCACATCAGCTGATCATTAGGAAGGTACCAGCTGAACACTGTCCGCTCAGACACCTACAGAAATCTGCTGCTAGGCCTACTGCGCAAGTCGTGATAACACGGTCTCTTTAAATTATTGCCTGTCAGTTGATTTAAGCACTTTATGCACCAGAAAGGCGCTAAAAGCATTAAAAATACATTTTTGGACAAGAATGCATCAGTTAACGTCCACCAATTTTTATTTTAGTAACTTTAAAATGACACAAGAAAAGAAACCCACGCAAGTCTTTATATTAAAAGGAGTTGTGCTGCACGGCATGGGATGGTTACTTGAATAAGCCGTCGTATTACTTATTTATAAAAATACAAATACATAATAAGCCAATGCTGAAATTCTTGAAAGCAGACCCTCCTTTCTTAAATTATGTGGGTCCTACTGTGATCAAATAAGCTTCCTCAGTTATATCATAATATTAAATAAAGATATTAAAAAAAAAAAAAAAAAGTTTGAAAGTGCAAACTGATCAAGGCTTGACATTCTCTGGTATGATGCAGATCAACTTTTAAAGATGGTTTGCATTAAAGTTACAGATCATTTTCTGTGACCTTGTTAACATCTCTTGTAAAACTTTGCTTTACACATGCCCTTGTCTGCTTAGAATAGATGTTGTCCCTTCAAAATTTCCCTAGGGTACACACAGCTTCCTGGGCCAAGAGTTTTTATACACAGTGGGCTTAATATGGGGCTAATAAGAGTCCCTTTAATATATAAAAGAAAACAGTAGGTTAATAACATCTATTGAAAATTTAAATCTCACATTTTGGGCCAAATAGAATTTTGATTCAGTGGGAAGATCAAGAAATGAAATCTCGATTAGTTAAATCTGTCCTCCAAGAAGAAAAATATAAAGTAAAAACATATCCCTGCACGCTTTGTCATCCTGATGAATAGAAATACACACATAAAAAGAATTTACTTAACATTTTAAGTACTTGTGCTGTCCCAACATATAGTCTGCCATATGTGTTCACAAACCAGTCAATCAAGTAGAACCCTCAACTTAAACTTCTGATTGGCTGGTGTGCTATACCTATTATGGGATACCAAGGACAATGTGAGCAATGTACACTATACCAGGTATTCGCAACAAGCATGAAGGGAAGCTGCAACTAAGTATTAAATACTATTCTTATTTTGGGCATTCCATAGCTAATTCCTATATTGCAAAATGTCCTTTTAATATATGAACACGTAGAGTTAGGTTAATGTGTCACTTAAAGAGTCAGACTGATCACATTTATTTTTGCATATAGACGAACAGAAAAACAAAATAATAATAATGTGCTTTTTTTCTGTCCCAATGTCCACTGTGAAGAAGTTACTAATGCATTCATGTTCAGAAAAAAAATTACACTTACCCCCTAGGAGATACATGAAGTTAACAACATACCTTCTATTTCAGAAAATAGCAGTTATGTTTCATACCAAAAGAATTAGTGTTCATTTTCAGCAGAAAAATAAACAAAGTAATCACAAAATTATATATTATTCACAGATGTATATACAGTTTATAAAGAACGGTATTACACACACACACATTAATGTACACACTAGACAACTTAAAATGACCAGTGGCAAATGGCATAAAATATACACATTTTGTGTGTTACAAAAACACATTAAAATAATTGTTCCCAAAACAAGAGGTACTAAGAAAGAAAGAAAAAAACAACCTTTTTTTGTATTAAATAGGTTTTAAACATTTGATATAGTCTAACTCATTGGTCACAATAGATAAAATGTAATCTTTATGGTGAAATAAAAACGGTGTCAATCACTAAATAGTTCAAAAATGTAAGAATCCTTTTCATTATTAGATGGGGAATACCAAGTCTTATTCTATCCAGAAATTATATTACAAATTTACTTATTCATTCATACCGTTTCATTGCCATTTATTAACCTCCCTGGCGGTCTGATTAGGTCAGTATTTTTTACTGTTAAAGTGGTACATTGTTTTTACAATGTATTGTGTATATTTTTTTACACCAGCGGCCCGTAGGCACAAGGTAAGTGATACTACAGTGTAATCCAGAGCACGGCTCGGGGTTACCGCTTGCGGTACTGAAAATTAACCCCAGGCCATGCTCGGGATTACCACCAGGGAGGTTAAAAGGAAAAGAGTTCCCACAAAATTTTGGCTTGTAACAATTTAGGTTGAGTTGGTCTCTAAGTGAATGAAATAGAATGTCAAAACTTAAACGATGGTGAAGAAAATGTGAAGAAAAATTCAATTAAATTCATATGTTTGCAAACAACAAAAAGAGAGGTTAATTTTTTTTTCATCTCTGGTAATTATTTTTTTTATGTTGTATGGAATATATATACCATATATCAATACCACCTACAAGATTTTCTCAAGTACAGTATTGTTTCTTTCTGGTAAAAAAATAAATAAAATCTATTGGATTAATTATCAAAATGGGGTATAAGTCATCAATACACAGTTAATTTAATGTGACAAAGTAGTTTGAAAAAAAAAAAATTCACCATAAAATTAAGGCGGTTTATGGAGAAAAAGGGAAACTTAATTTTCACCATCAGCAATTTAAAGCAAAAGTATAAATTCATAAAAACATTTAATCTGATTTATCAAAAGGGCTGTACTGGAAATTGTTTATAACTAATAACATGGATAAAAAAAGTTTGATGAAACAACATTTTAGCAAATCTACATACTTGAGTTCTGCAGCATGCACGTATATTTGTTATCTCAAAAATAGTTTGGTACATTTAAATCAAATATGTGCAATGGCTGTAAGGGAGGGCACTTTACAAGCTCCTGTTTAAATTTAATCAAAGCAGTGTGATGCTTCTAGGGTCATAGCAGAGGTCCTCTGTAAAAGTTAGACAACGGCCATAAAATGACCAAGTATGATTGACAAGGGATTATTCTTTATATAATACATTAACAAAACTAGTAATCTTTATTCTCTGGAATAATTTCAAAAGCATCTCATCATTTAAGAATGGTGTCAACTGAGTCTTGATCGCCACTAGAGGGACTTCCTTGATTCAGTCCTGCATAGATTACAGGACGAATGTTCAGCATCCCTACGTACTGACTCAACAAATTTCTACGAGGAGATGCTGATTTGTCGCGGAGCAGAAATTTGCTGCACATGCCAATTAGTCTCCCAATACTTCCCTACAGGAAAGCACTGGATTGGTTGAGATCATCAGCACTTGATCTCCACCAAAGAGGCAGGACGGCCACGAAGAGAGGTAAAGACTTGCTTTTTCAAGTGTTCCTTTAGTCAGAGTTTCATTTTTTGTAAAATTACAAGCTTATCAGGTGACAAGGGATAAAATGTGTTTTAAATACATTGTTGAACCAACTTGGAAGCCCTTAAACATAGATAAGGAACCTATTTTTTGTGTTTAGATCCAGAGTTAAAAATAAAGTTACTGTAAAAGGGAAAACCATGCAATGTGGCAGTGTTCAGCTTAGCCATGCTGTGGGGTTTTAAAAATCTCTACGAAAACATACTTTTTGAATCAAAATGACCACTAGGCGCTTACATTATTTGGCACTTTGTCCATGGTGGTCTTGTTTAATCTTCATATTGGCATGGCTACAACAGAACAAACTCAGCTTTTTTTTTTTTTTTAAACTTATTTTTTAAGTTCATGAAAATCATTTTACAACTTTCTTTTGCTGGAATTTATGTTGTCTGTATCTGAGGTATGAATATATCTTAACTATCCGGCATTTTAGAAAACCTGTTTGCATTTATTAATTAAGCTTCGACTAATAAAGTCAGTTCTAAATTAATTCTGGCAATACAATTTCCGTCTCTAAAGGAAGCCCACCTGTACGATTCCTTCCTTTCTTTTAAAACATCATCTTACACAAGGATTTATACTACTAATTTAAAACAAAAATTAAAGATCATTATTATACAGACATAAAAATAAAAAAAGTTCACAATTTCAATGCCAGGCAAATATACAACACAATTTGGTTGCGATCAAACAGTTTTAACACTTCTCTTGCGCACAGACGATTTGCGATGCCTGCAGTAACTTTTGCGTTCAGCTGACAGCATAATGTCTAAAAAAAGACATACACTTTAATAGACTATGAAATCAAATATGGCACTTACAATAAGTACGTTAAAGCTTAAGAAATGTGTCAATTAAAAGAGGAAAAACCAGAACAACTGCTGCAAAGTTCATTTTAGCTTGTGTTGAAGGAAAAATAAAATACAGAAAGTGAATGCAAATGGGAAATAACAGTAAGCCTTTCTTATTATCAAAATTAATGAATTTTAGATTATCGGCAGCACTGTTCCTCAAGACAACCCCCAAGGACCACAAACATTCCACAATTTGAGAACCACAGGCTCTACTTCTCGAATACATTGGTTTACAAGATACTGACAGCAGTGAAGAGAGACATTTTGTTTTCTTTAAAAAATATCTTCATGCCCATTCATTAAAATCTATGTTAACCACAAATGCAGCTATTTTGACACCTTTTTTGTACAGCAATCACGGGATGTCAAAAGCAGCAAACCTTTGGACAATCCTACTTCTCCACCTAAGAGACTGCGACTTCTTAAATACAATAAGTTTAGAAAAGGAAAACAACTTGTGATTCCCCCTACAGGTTTAAAAAAAGGCTTACTGTGTTTTAGAAAATGGATCAAGTGGAAAAAAAACAGCCATCGTAGATATATACATGATATGCAGTTATCTCATTTAGGCAGTTAATCTACAAATGTGTACAATTATTTACAGTGGTGTTCATATAAAAACAAAAAAAGGTAGCACTTCCTAAAAGATTTTGAAAAGTTGTTTTTTTTTTTTCCTTTTTAATTAAGATTTTTTTTTTTCTTTAAAACTCCCTTGTCAGAAAAGCCAACTTACATTAAAATAGACTTACTACAAGACAACACAACTAAAAATATATAATAAAACTTATACAAGTATAAAATTCTGAGGTATTTCTGGTTTGAGGTGGTCTATGGTCATGACTTTTATTTTTCCGTTTAGTTTTTTCTTTTCTTTATCTTTTCCATTGACCTCTTCGACATGCTAGGTAGACAACTGCTGCATAGGTCACACGAGCGTTCTGCACTTGAATAGAGAGAGACCTTGGAAGCCACATCAACTGAATTCGTGTGTGTTTTAAAAACCAAAAAAACTAAAAATTGCTTTGTTTTCCAGATGACAGAAAAAAAAATTATATCGAAGTTTTGAGAATCAGCAGCATCAGAAACATTCACAGATTTGAGCAACATTAATGGTACACCTAGTAGATTTCTGCATATGCACCAATCTAGGTCTTTTATCTCGGGATACAGAGAAAGATAATCTTACAAACCATCATTATGATGAATACCAGTTTTGCCAAATGTAATCCAGGCCACGGTGACTTTAGCTCATGTTGTACACACAAACCTATGTTGTTAAAGCTGAAGGGTTGCTAATCCCATGGACCACTGAGTGTAGCAAAAGTATTGGCATTGACAAAATAGCTTGACAATCTGGTGCAAGTGTAGACGGCTGATTTCAGAAACCTTATTCTCTCCTATGTACAATACTACTATGATTTCATTTATGGATGTTTGCATATAAAACTTGCCTTATGCACACCAGAAAATCTTAATTCTTTTTCTCCACAAATCCAGTTTCACAGTCAGTAGATAGACCAGGTCTTTCTCTGTACCCAATTCCTCCAGCAATGCTCAGCATTGGAAAAAGCATCCTTTGCGATTTTTAATGGATACCTGAGTAGTTCCATCGCGATCCAACAGTTTGCTACATGCTGAATTTACAATCCAGGGTCTGTTCTGCCCACACGTAGGACCATCTAGATAGCGCTTACTCTCCTACAGGAGAGCAGCCTCTTCCCAATTTGTCTACGTTACAAAGACACCCGTTAGATCCGTAAAAAGACACCACTGATGGTTATTTTTGGAGCATACGGTCTAGAAGATAGTAGAAGAGGGTGATAATGGTTGTAAAGAGAGAATCCTGTTTGTGGAAGGTGTATCTTTATGTAACAGTCTTCAACTTACTACAAAGTTTGCAGCATTTTGTTACCTAAGATTGTAGGTGGCCCCTCGTCAGAGAAGGTCTGACCATTAAGAGGAACCAAGATACGAGTTATTTAAAAATTAGTTTTTTGAGGTTCTGAAGTACCTGCACCTTTCTGCATTCATTAGTCGGCACCTGAATGCTTGCTGAGATGTCCATTTGTATTTAATACAATAGAGCAACGTGCTGGTAAAATTGATCCAATCCCTCCCTCCCCAAAGAGAAAATAATGGGAAAAAAATTAAAATAAAAAAAATTATAATAATACAAAAGTCAAGATAAAATAGCAGCTGCATTCATGTTTTTCCCCAAAATTTGTAAAAAAAGTGTGTATTTCCCCCCCTCCCCAATTTCTGAGTCTGGAAAGACAAAAAGTAACCTGGGACTCAGATACTGGACTCTTTGGGTGGTAAGTCCACATTGGTGACAGATGTAACGATGGATACAAGGCAGTCCGAGGTAGTGCCATTTACTAATTTGCGAATCTGGGAAATACGCTCTTCTACGCAGCCAGCTGAGAGTCGTGCTTCTGCATCGTGGTCCCAGCATTCCTCGATGGTGACACATAACTGTGCCAGTCCCTGACAACACAAAGGCACACAATGAGTTCATAATGTTTGTTTTCCAAAAATAATTTCTGACACAAAACCCATTTAGTCTCTTTAAATACAATTAATGACTGTATACATATCTGTAAAGTGCTATTATTAATAACTGTCTAATAATGCCAAAAATGAATAATCTTCAGCACCGTTACAAGTAGAAACAATGATTTAAGAAGCTTTAAACCAGTGGTATCCAACCTGTGGCCCGGGACCGCTAGCAGTGCCGCCCAGCTGCCGTTTGTGCTGCCAGCCGGCGTGGGAGGCAGGGAGCACATTCCATTCTGTGCTCCTCCTGGACAGCTCCTTTGTGCGCCCTGCCATCAGCCAGGCGCTGGGATATGCAGTCATCGGCAGCAAATCGCTAGCCACCAGAAACAGAGGATCCATTCAAGCCTCCCTGAGCAAGTACTATTAAATGTGTGTATGTTTTGTCAGTGATTGTGTGTGTATAGGTGTGTGATTGTATGTGTATGTATATATGTATAGGTGTGTGATTGTATGTGTATGTATATATGTATGTGATTGTGTGTACAGGCCTGTGATTGTGTGTTAGCACATATGTGATTGTGTGTATAGGTCTGTGTGTCTGTGATCGTGTATGTATGTGACTGTGTGTATATGTCTGTGATTGTATGTGTAAGTATTTGTGATTGTGTGTATGTCGGATTGTGTGTGTGTATATCTGTGGTTATGTGTGCATATGTATATGTTTAGTAGATAGCTCCCTAATTTGGTATCCTTAAATATGCCAATACCACATAAGGTTAACAAATAAGGGTTTTATCTACTAAACAACTGAAATATCAAAATTAAGAAAAGGGCTTTTATAGTTATATTACTTATATACATTATCTGTCTAATATAGTTGATGTGTGGTCCAAGACAATTTCTCTGCGCTCAATGCGGCCCAGGGAAGCCAAAAGGTTGGACACCCATGATCTAAACAGTAAGACAGCATGCAGCCCATAGGGAAGTTTCTTCAAATAGTTTCTAAATAGGAAAAATGATGTGGCAACCAATAATCTATACATGTATATTGCCCACAATTAAATAGAGTGCTAAATTTTAGGGCAGACTAAATTAGGACCTGAGCATATCTGAACACTAGACACGTGCAAAAATGAGTTTTAAGCAATTCGTTTAAATAAAAGTCCTAGGAATCGAGAACGAGATGATTTAGAAGATTCAGTTTATTCATAAACAAACCGAATCAGAATCACCCTAATTGAAATCCTTTTAATTCAGATGATTCTAATTTGGTTTGTTTGTGTACAAACCAAGTTTTTGGAATCTATACATTTGACAATTGGAATTTTATTCTGACAAATTTTTGCACATGTCTACTGCACACATCTCACTACCAGGTCTGGTTTTATTAACATTGCCTTGCAAACTTTATTTATTTCATATAACACCACTCTGTTCTTTTCTAAATAGGGGCTTTCAAAAAATTAACAATGGAAGGAAGCAGCGCTTACAGGATGTTTTAACCACTGCTCTTTGAATGCCGGCCGCATCTTCTTGTGCACCACAACATCCTGAAGGTCTTCTAATGACGGATGTTGGCCAATCTCTTCTTCAAATGGCAGCATGTACTCATCAACTGGGCCTATAGACACAAGAATTCATCATTTTCTTGATAAATAAACTCACATTTTGTTTAGACTCAAAAGTGCCTAAATCCATGATGTTTAAACATTCTGTTGTCAATACACGCAAATTATTTTCAGATTCTGAAATGCCAAAACCGGCTCTCACTCTGTATGCCTTTCTATCTGGGTTAAATTTAGTATGGTCGCAGCACTTCATACTAAATTCTTGTTGGTTTTTTGCTCAGTTTATTACTTTGCAAACAAAAAAATGGGCTTAGTGGTGCATAGACGCATAGCTGGAGTAACTAGTGAATGTAATAACTAATCAAATTTTGAAAAAAACATTTGTGAGTGTCTATAAAAAAAGAAAATAAATAAGATCAAGTAAGAAACACACACACTGGGATTTGAACATTTAGCCCTGGCAAGTAGATATTCACCCCTGGTGAGTATGCTGTGGCTTACAGTGGTAAGTAATTTCTCAGGACTGGCTAGCACCATATGACCCATTTACACACAGATATTCCACTCACAGCACAGATCAGTAAAAAGTCTTTACCTGCACGTATTCAGACATATAATTTACCATTAGGGCCTACAGCATATCCCTTTAAATAACAACGACAAAGGCGTCAATACTCTGATTACCCAGTAAAATTATGGCAGCAATCTAATGGCAAGTTGTGCTCAAGTGGCAACTGAAAAACAGTCTCATTGAGGCTCTGATGCTTTACACAAAGAGGAAAAAGCCAGGCAACTATCTTCGCAGTGAGATATGGAAATAGACACCAGGAATGTGTCATTATAAAGGAGAAAAGGCATTTCAGTTAGAAGTATTTTTTGTGAATATTTTCAGCATATTTATTTAATATATAGCATAAGAATGGATTTACTTTAATAAAAGTTCCATAGGATTGACATACTATTGAATATCCATAATCCATTCCTCTATTATTTACCAGATTAAAGGTAATAATGAGAAATATAAATTATGTGGTTATAGCATGATACATCTTGGAAAAACATGTAACTTTTGTAAACAGTGACATCTACAACCACAAGAGGGAACCAAAGACTCACCGTCAGCTGCCGTACATCTGGATACAATTTCCCAGAGGACCAGCCCCACGGCGTACATGTCTATCCTGAGAAAGGAATCTCGCTGAAAGTTAATTGCTCCCTCTAGCACCTCTGGAGCCATGTACCGCCTGGTGCCAACCTGGAGAGAGAACATTTCAGAGCTCATCATCTTTCCCCTTTAATGAACCACTGGATGATCAGCAGATACACATGTTAAGGTGAATTGTGAAAGCTCAGCTACACATAAACAATGGCTGAACAGGCATTTTTTGTGTCAAATTAAGCCACCAAGGAGTGCTGAAATGTTAAATCAGAAGACGTCCATTCTACAACTTTAAAAACAGATGCTGACATAAAGGCCATGCTCGGCAATTGCACTGATCTACAAAGGGTTACATATTCCTGTCTATTGACAACTGTGAGGTACACCTTTATTCATACACAAATGGCATTTAATTCCATTTCTTACTAGCCCTAGGGCAGAGGAAGGCAGCCTTCAGCAAACCACATGTCGTGGACTAAATCTCCGCTGATGCTTTGCCAGCATTATGACAGTAAGAGCATTAGTGGATATGTAACACAAACTTTGGAGTGCCCAAGGTTGTCTACTTCTGATCTCGGGGTAAGAGCAAGTAATGATACTTTGAACATAACTACCAACATTCCCCCTGTTATGCAACAGATCGAGTGTAACGTGCAAGTCTCATTATCCACGGTGGTGCACGTCTCAAGAAGGATGAAATAAGTGATCTCACATGATTAACAGATCTGGACTCCTGATGGGGAGGAAGCCGTTGTGATAGCTACTTCCTGGAAAGGAAGCCTAAACCTGTTTCTAGCTAAACGTGACCAGTGTTTTTGGTCTGGGGAATGAGCCAATTTTAGATAAATACATGATGTTCTCATTGATTACAGATTCAGTGTGATTTACCTGTCCATGAGTATCTCCCGGGGGCTTTCCTGGTTCAAACCGTACTGCCAACCCAAAGTCCGCTAATATCGCTGTCAAGTCGTTTCTCAAGAGGACGTTTTTACTTTTGAAATCCCTATACAAAAAAAATTTCAAAATAAAAATTTAAAAAATAGATAGCTTTAGATATTAAATATATACAATAACAATATATTACATGCCTTAATTTGCCACAAACATTTCAAATAAAAAATGGCTTACTCATTATTATTATAATTATGTTATTATGTATATAACGCCAACAAATTACACAGCACTTTACAGTGGATGGACGAACAAACATGTAGTTGTAACCAGACGAGTTGGACACACAGGAACAGAGGGGTTGATGGCCCAGCTCAATGAGCGTACATGCTGCTAGAGGTGGTAAACACAATCTAATACATGGTTGGGACAAAAATCAATTACAAACATTTAGCATATGCTGTTTGGTTCTGTTTCATATTACTCAACTTAATATCGTTTTAATATCGCTTTTGCATTAGAAACATTACAGCTATGGTACTTTCACACTCTGAATCTGCAAATTAAGAGTCAGTGTCAAATGTGTTTCTTAAGTCAGAGACAATGTTGCAAACCAGGATATGTCACATCAAATGCAAAGGATTTTTTTTGTAAACCGGTTTCCAGTTTGCTGATTGATACTTTGAGCACGTTTTCCAAACTGGCACTTAACTTTTTAAAATTTTTTAACGTTAATATCCCCACTATTTTAGAGCACCCACCTGCAAAAAATTTTTTTTTACTTAACTAGAATCCAGCACCAGGCAAAGCACCCAGCCAGGACCTCCACACCTCTTGCAACGGCACCAAGGGTATCGCGCAGATCAATCAATGATTTCTCAGCGAAGCTTGTGGCTCAGTCTGCATCCTCGTTTTACTGGCTCAGTCTGCATCCTCTAAGCCAGGGTTTCCCAATTAATTTTTCCCGTGGAACCCTTTGACATAGTGTATCAACATCATACAGATACACACTGACAGATAGTGGCACACAGATACACACACACACCTTGACACACAGTGTGTATCTGTGTATGTATGTATGTATGTATGTATCTGTGTGTCAAGGTGTGTGCGTCTGTTTCAAAGTCTGTGTATCTGTGTTTGTATGTGTCTGTATCAACGTGTGTGTATCTGTATTTTTATGTGCCAGTGTGTATGAATCTGACACACAGATACACACACTGGCAGATAGTGGCACACAGATACACACACCTTGATGCCCAAATACACACACACTCAGATACACACAGTGACTTACACACACTTGCACCCACAGATACACACTGACACACTCATACACACAGGCACATACAAACACACTGATACACACTGGCACATACAAACACTGATACACACAGTGACACAAATCTTGACACAGATACACACACACTCTTTGACATACACTCTCACTGACAAACACTCACTGACAAACACACACGCTTTTACAGAAAAACATACAAACACATATACACTCTCATTGACAAGAACAGATACATTCTCACTGCCAAACACATACACTCACTGACAAGCACACATTCACTCTCACTGACAAACACACAAACACTCCCTAACAGACACACATACAATTTTTTTTTTTTTTCCTGGGGTCCAGTTGGGCTGGCTGCAGCTTGGCGGTCGGGAGGTCTGGCAGACAGGTGAGCGGGCGCCTCCTAGTAATGCCAGAGCCGGAGTGACATCATATTCCGGCTCCAGCATCACTGCTGTGCGCGCGAGAGAGCTGAGCAGGGAGATCAGAGCTCACTGCTCCCTCGCCGGCCGCTGCCATTTTTTTGGCGGAACCCCAACTAGTGTTCCGCGGAACACCAACTGGGAGAGCAAGCTGTCTGCAAGGGAGAAGCGGAATACATCTGTCATCAGCGTACTGTGTGCGCTGATGACAACTGTAATTTTTGTACAGAATTGATATTAGGCAGCCTGGAATAGAGCTCAAGGCTATTTAAGTCACGCCTGCCGGGGTGTAACTAGCAGAGTTCCAGTCTGTTTGTCACGTGTGTAACTATAGCTCTTTTCAACTAGACTCCTACCACTTCAAATAAATTCAAAGCGCTGAATATCATGGGTAACGGGTTGTTTTATTCTGAATAAAATAAAGGTTTCTAAGGCTATATTGTATTGTGCAGTTGGAAAAGACAAGATAATGTGTTAATATTTAAGAACTAAATGGGGTTATTTTTTTATGTGCTAGTCTCTTTTTAAGTAGGGATCGACCGATTATCGGTTTTACCGATATAATCGGCCGATATTCGGTATTTTCGGCAATATCGGTATCGGCCAATTCAGATACCGATATTGCCGATAATACCTCCTAGGACCGCCAGGCTCATTACAAGCCCGGCGGTCCTGGGGGGGCGGGCATCAAGCATTTACTCACCTCCCAGCAGCTTCTCCGGCTCCCAAGTGTAACTCTCGTGAGACCCGCGGCCGTCAGAGCGTTGCCATGGATCACCATGGCAACGCTCCGCGCGACACGCTGGCCGCGAGAGTTGCACTGGGGAGCTGGAGGAGCTGCTGGGAGGTGAGTAAATGCTTGTTCTCCGCCCCCCCCAGCTCAGCCAATACCACTGGACCACCAGGGACTGTCATATCCCCCCTCCCTGGCCAGGTAACAAGCAGGGAGGGGGGACAAAAAAATAATAATTAAATATATATATAAAAAAATAATTTAATAAAAAATTCCCCCTCACACACTCCATTATATACACAGACACTACACAAACACACTGTGTATATAATACAGTGTGTGTTTGTATAGTGTGTGTTTGTATACAATGCACACAAATACACTGCATTATATACACACACTATACAAACACACACTACATTCACTATACACACACTACACAAATACACACACACTCTGCATTCATTATATACACACACACTTTGCATTTAGTATATACAGCATTCACTTTACGCACACTACCCACACACTACACAAACACTCTGCTTTCATTATATACACACTACACTAATACACACTGCATCCACTACACACACTAAACAAATACAAACTGCATCCACTACACACACTAAACAAATACAACTGCATCCACTACACACACTAAACAAATACACACTGCATCCACTACACAAACACACATTGCATCCTCCACACACACTACACAAACACACACTGCATCCACAACCCACACACTACACAAACACACACTGCATCCACTACACACACACACTACACAAAGACACACACTGCATCCACTACACACACACTACACAAAGACACACACTGCATCCACTACACACACACTACACAAAGACACACACTGCATCCACTACACACACACACACAGCTCCCCTGTCACACTGCATCCACTACACGTGGCATGTATATTTTGTGCATTTACCTTTAGAAATAGTTTTTATTTTCCAAAATGGTAAATGTACAGAATATCGGCAAATTATATCGGCTATCGGCCTGAAAGTTCACAGAATATCGGTATCGGTATCGGCTCTAAAAAAATCAATATCGGTCGATCCCTATTTTTAAGTCCATATCTTTAGGGTCAAATGTTTTATTTTTTTAGACAGAATTACACTTTGAGTATAGATTTATTTTTAAAGGAACACTACAAGCATAAACATGTATTCCGGACCCTATAGTATTAAAAACTAACTAAACAACTCCTTCCCCCCCACTCCGGTCCATCAATAATGTAAAATCTTACCTTTATTCCAGTCTACTGCTGCTGGTTTTGCACCTAATCTGCCTCCTTAGCCAACATCATCAGACGTGATGATCTCAGCCAAACACAATGCTTTCCCATAATAAAGCATTGGGATAGGCTGAGATGGTCAATTCTGATAAACTCAGCCAGGGGGTGGGCCAGGGGCATCTCTATGAGAAAAGTTTAGTGGAGACAATGAATCTCAGTCACACTGTGCAGCAGTGCCCCAGGAAGCACCTCTAGCAGCCATCTGAGGAGTGGCCAGTGGAGGTATCCCTAGGTTGTAATGTAAATACTGCATTTTCTCTGAAAAGACACCGTTTACTGCAAAAAGCCTGCAGGGACTGACCATACTCACATGAACAATTACATTAAGCAGTAGTTGTTCTGGTGAATATAGGGTCCCTTTAATATATAAAGTTGAACAAATAGATATGGAGAAATGATTACTTTTGGCTACCAATGGTGGAATAACAGCAGAGTTTAACATATGAACATTCCTAACGCTACAATGTTCTAGCAGCTATTTAGTTGGGGGCCTCACGTGTCAATTTAAGTAGAAATGGCACTTTCTGACTAAACTGCTACAAAAATAAAAAAACAATGATCAGATAGAAGAGGAAGGATTCTTGTTCTGAGCAGCACGTAAGTAAAAGAAAACTGTACGTCACATCATACATTTGGTTAGGATTTGATTACAAGCCGGTTTAACAGATGGTTATGCTCTATAGTAAAATGTATGAAGATTTTAGTCTTTCCCAGTAGAGCCATTGTAACTGCAGGCTAGGTCTGTGTCATTTAATTAAATAGAGTAAAAAGAAACACAGGGGAGAGGACTCATTTTTAGTACCATCCTATAGAGAAAACTTTCCAATACACAGATTATTGAAGAGGATGCTTGATATTGTTTTAGATATAGGCTATTTAAGTCACTGCATATTTTGGCTTAATTGTTTTTGTTATATGTTAATGACAGGTTAGGCTTTCCAAAATGTCAATTTATCGGTATTGGAACGCAGCGAGAAAGGCAAGAAAAGCCAGATTAAGGGGTGGGTACACTGTGTATGTCCCATTTTTAAATTGATTCTGTAAATAAACTTTAGAGAATAAACAAATGATCTCAGGGTTATTTACTCAGAATAATTGATCCACTGACATTTTTTTCTCGCCCACATTTGTATGTCAAGTCTTTTCTTTCACGACAACATCTATTAACATATTTATATCCTATATAAACAGAAATACTTTTACACGTAGAAGGTGAACTCATTGGAATTGGATTTTTTTACTAAATTTCATCTGGAGCAGGAGACTGAGCTTCAGTCATTGTTTCCAAGAATTGCAAATCCAACACACGTTAAGAATCTAAACTACAACAGGTGCATGGACAAGCAAAACTCAGTATGAATAAAAATCTTTTTCCACCAGATATGTGGCTGACAAAGTTTGCTTCAGTAAATATTATGGGGAAATTGATAATCACACAATTAAATACAATACTGAAAATAACTTGTAACTTATATTTTTCATTTAAATGTAGATCTTTCTTTGAGGTGTCTGGTCGATGGCTAAACATAGCCAGCGTTTTGATTGTAATATTGACTAACCTTAGATGATGACACAACCTTTCTATTTATTACAGATTCAGTTACAGTGAAATGACAATTTATATAGCGCGTTCTGCAGAATAGGTAAAATAAGACAAAACACGTTTAATAAATGGGAATAATCAGTAAAGATGCCCTTGTTCAAGCTTACAATCTAAAAGATGAAATTCATATGTTTCTGCATATTTAAATTTATTATTTATATAATGAATTACAAAAATGGGATCAATTCCTGTATATTGCTTCCCTGCAAATAATATTATTTCTAGAGATTTGTATCCCTGTATCTGTAGGAGCATATAGATGCTTGCACAAACTCGATGGCCATCACTTTAGGCATGTGATCTATCACAGAATGCTGTGCAGAATATTACTATATTAGTACTCCTTGTGTAACGTTACATTACTATTTAATACTATATGAGTACTCCCTGTGTAACGTTACATTATTTATTACTATATTAGTACTCCCTGTGTAACGTTACCTTACTATTTATTACTATATTAGTACTCCCTGTGTAACGTTACCTTACTATTTATTACTATATTAGTACTCCTTGTGTAACGTTACATTGCTATACGAGTACTCCCTGTGTAACGTTACATTACTATTTATTACTATATTAGTACTCCTTGTGTAACGTTACATTACTATTTATTACTATATTAGTACTCCTTGTGTAACGTTACATTACTATTTATTACTAGATTAGTACTGCCTGTGTAACGTTACATTACTATTACTATGTTAGTACTCCTTGTGTAACGTTACATTGCTATTTATTACTATATTAGTACTCCCTGTGTAACGTTACATTGCTATTTATTACTATATTAGTACTCCCTGTGTAACGTTACCTTACTATATTGGTACTCCCTGTGTAACGTTACATTACTATTTATTACTATATTAGTACTCCCTGTATAACGTTACATTACTATTTATTACTATATTAGTACTCCCTGTGTAACGTTACATTACTATTTATTACTATATTAGTACTCCCTGTGTAACGTTACATTGCTATACGAGTACTCCCTGTGTAACGTTACATTACTATTTATTACTATATTAGTATTCCCTGTGTAACGTTACATTACTATTTATTACTATATTAGTACTCCCTGTGTAATGTTACATTACTATTTATTACTATATTAGTATTCCCTGTGTAACGTTACATTGCTATACGAGTACTCCCTGTGTAACGTTACATTACTATTACTATATTAGTACTCCCTGTGTAACGTTACCTTACTATATTAGTACTCCCTGTGTAACGTTACATTACTATTTATTACTATATTGGTACTCCCTGTGTAACGTTACATTACTATTTATTACTATATTAGTATTCCCTGTGTAACGTTACATTGCTATACGAGTACTCCCTGTGTAACGTTACCTTACTATTTATTACTATATTAGTACTCCCTGTGTAACGTTACCTTACTATATTAGTACTCCCTGTGTAATGTTACATTACTATTTATTACTATATTAGTACTCCCTGTGTAACGTTACATTACTATTTATTACTATATTAGTATTCCCTGTGTAACGTTACATTGCTATACGAGTACTCCCTGTGTAACGTTACATTACTATTTATTACTATATTAGTACTCCCTGTGTAACGTTACCTTACTATATTAGTACTCCGAGTGTAATGTTACATTACTATTTATTACTATATTAGTACTCCGAGTGTAATGTTACATTACTATTTATTACTATATTAGTACTCCCTGTATAACGTTACATTACTATTTATTACTATATTAGTACTCCGAGTGTAACGTTACATTACTATTTATTACTATATTAGTACTCCCTGTATAACGTTACATTACTATTTATTACTATATTAGTATTCCCTGTGTAACGTTACATTGCTATACGAGTACTCCCTGTGTAACGTTACATTACTATTTATTACTATATTAGTATTCCCTGTGTAACGTTACATTGCTATACGAGTACTCCCTGTGTAACGTTACATTACTATTTACTATATTAGTACTCCCTGTGTAACGTTACCTTACTATATTAGTACTCCCTGTGTAATGTTACATTACTATTTATTACTATATTAGTATTCCCTGTGTAACGTTACATTGCTATACGAGTACTCCCTGTGTAACGTTACATTACTATTTATTACTATATTAGTATTCCCTGTGTAACGTTACATTGCTATACGAGTACTCCCTGTGTAACGTTACATTACTATTTATTACTATACGAGTACTCCCTGTGTAACGTTACATTACTATTTATTACTAGATTAGTACTGCCTGTGTAACGTTACATTACTATTACTATGTTAGTACTCCTTGTGTAACGTTACATTGCTATTTATTACTATATTAGTACTCCCTGTGTAACGTTACATTACTATTACTATGTTAGTACTCCTTGTGTAACGTTACATTGCTATTTATTACTATATTAGTACTCCCTGTGTAACGTTACCTTACTATATTGGTACTCCCTGTGTAACGTTACATTACTATTTATTACTATATTAGTACTCCCTGTATAACGTTACATTACTATTTATTACTATATTGGTACTCCCTGTGTAACGTTACATTACTATTTATTACTATATTAGTACTCCCTGTATAACGTTACATTACTATTTATTACTATATTAGTACTCCCTGTATAACGTTACATTACTATTTATTACTATATTAGTATTCCCTGTGTAACGTTACATTGCTATACGAGTACTCCCTGTGTAACGTTACATTACTATTTATTACTATAATAGTACTCCGAGTGTAACGTTACATTACTATTTATTACTATATTAGTACTCCGAGTGTAACGTTACATTACTATTTATTACTATATTAGTACTCCGAGTGTAACGTTACATTACTATTTATTACTATATTAGTATTCCCTGTGTAACGTTACATTACTATTACTATATTAGTATTCCCTGTGTAACGTTACATTACTATTTATTACTATATGAGTACTCCCTGTGTAACGTTACATTGCTATACGAGTACTCCCCGTGTAACGTTACATTACTATTTATTACTAATTACTACTAATCTTGCTGTGGTTCAATTAAAGTGCCTATTTTTGAACCAAGGAGTGCCTGGACCTCTATTTCTTTAGTGTAAGATCAAAGCCTACAATAAAGGTTATCCCAACATGTACAAAAACAACTTATATCAAATGCCAACTCATGCTTTGGCATGACATTGGTTAGAACTGATGAAGCCCAATGCAGGTTTGGCATCAGGACAACAACAACAAAAAAAACCTGATGAAAGATCTCAGTTGGGAGCTGAAACCGACATTTTATTGGATCATGTAAATAAATCTAAGTTTTATATTTTGTGATATTAAATCCCGGGAGTGAGGTTTTTTTCTTGTTTTTTTATATGTATATATATATATATATATATATATATATATATATATGTTACTATTACAGCCTCAAAAATGTAGAGAGTGGTGAAAACTGCAGGTAGCTGTATCAGGATATGCTGAAATTATCAAAGTGGGGAAACTCAGGAGAGGCTAATGATCCATAGAAAGCCACACAATGGATGGAGTGTCTAATTTGTCACACCATTCTTTAGGGAAGAGCACATTCGTCAGAGGAAATCAGTTTCACCCAGCTTGAGCCCGGCTCCATCTGCCCCAGCAAAACCATTACAGAGGAGTCTTAAGTACATTTATATTTTGGATAATGGGCACACCCCAGTGTGAACCGGCAAAGTTCCCTACTGTGAATTGCCCGGCCTGTCTCTGTATAAAACGAACGGCAGATGGTGTGCATGGGGGAAAAAAAAAACCAAGAAAAAAAGAAGAAAACAAAACAACAAAAAAACACCACCTTTTTATTTATTTTTTGCCATGTTTGTGCTACAAGAATGCACTAAAGAAAGATTAATGCATTGGGCTTTTAGTAATGAGATACAGGCTAATTGTTTGGAATATTTGGTCATTAGCTAAAGGTGGCTTTGGCTCTGGAAAATGAATCTTGGGATTGTTAAAATGGAATGCTGACACTAGCCTGGACACAAAAGGAATGTTATAGTTAAATTCAAGCAAGGAGACCAGTGCTCCCAAATATGGTCGCAAATAAGCCTAGAATCTGTCATATTTAGCAAGAGAGATGCTCACGAAAAAGCAAACCGAGGGCTTGATAGGCCAATATATTTAATTCTAATTATGGAGAGAAAAAAATATATATATAAAAAAAAAAAATACACAACCACACTCCTCCCAAAAGCCCGCCCCCATACTTTAACAAAATGTGTATGTGACATCTCCATGCAGTCTGCATTTATAAGATTTGTGAAAAAAAGAGCTCAGTAAATTACAGCATGGTATGGTGTTAGGATGCCACCTTTGCAATAAGTCAGTTCATGAAATTTCATCCCTGCTAGATATTCCACGGTCAACTGCTATTATTGGAAAGTGGAAGCGTTTAGGAACAGCAGCAACTCTGTCACGAAGCAGAAGACCACATAAAGTCCTGGAGTGGGGTCATTGAGTGCTAAGGCATGTAAAAGTCACCAACACTGTGCTGATTTCATAGCTGAAAAGTTCCAAACTGTGACTGGCATCAAGATCAGCACACAAACTGTGCAACGGGAGCTTCATGGAATGGGTTTCCATGGCTGAGCAGCTGCATGCAAGCTTCACATCACCAAATACAATGCCCAGCTAGGTCTCTTACATCCAGTGAAAGGAAATCTTAATTCTGAATACCAGCACACCAAGACATTTTGAAAAATGCTATGCTTCCAACTTTGTTGGAACAGTTTGGGGAAGGACCTTTTCTATTTTAGCATGACTGTGCCCCATGCACAAAGCAAGGTCAATAAAGACATAGTTGGTTGAGTTTGGTGTGGAAGATCAGAACCCTGACCTCAACCCCATCTAACACCTTTGGGATGAACTGGATTGGAGATTACGAGCTAGGCCTTTATGTCCAACATCAGTGTCTGACCTCACAAATACTCTTCTGGAAAAATGGGCAAAAATTCCCCCCCCCCAAAAAAAACACTACAAAATCTTGTGAAAAGCCTTCCTAGAAGAGCAGAAGCGGTTATAGCTGCAAAGGGGGGACAAACTACATATTAATGTCTATGTATTTAGAATGTGATTTAATAAAAGTCCCTGATGGTCAAGTGTCCCAATACTTTTGTTCATATAGTGTATAGAAATCAGCTTGCAAGAGAGCACTTAGGAGACCTACTTGTGATGAAAAGAAATGCCACTTTATTTTAAGCAGCGAGTGTTCTAGCACAACAAAAATAAATATCAATGTTTCAGTCCTCACAGAGACTTTCTGTGAGCTTTGAAATTACGGTTTAGTGAATAAGTAAGTGCGCTGGATCTTGTAGGAGATATACACACACATACATACATATACACCTACAACACACACATGCATGCGCACTGTCACGTTTCTTCTCTTCCTAAATTACCCGTTCAGTTTATGAAAAACCATGTTATTTGGGGAGACAGTATCAACATGCTATAGTCTCTCTTGACTATCTCTACATTCTTTCATTCTAATGTTCTACAATCTGCACAGAGGAACACAGACACATGTCAGAAGTGCGGCTGGTTAACACCTGGGTTGGTTTTGCATTTCCTGCCAAGTACAGGGAGCTTGCCTGGCATTTCAGACGTGGATTACCTTCGTGGATGAGAGACAAGTCAGATTACGCACTTGTAAAGAAACCGGTCTCAGCGTGTACAACATTTTTCATTATATTTAATCATAATCTAGCATTTCCACTTGAAGATATGTTTGTTTTTTGTTTAAAAAAAAAATGCCGAAGACTTTATCCAGACTTTTACCATTACTGTTGCAGCCACGTAATGGCTGTACTTAACCCCTTAAGGACACATGACATGTGTGACATGTCATGATTCCCTTTTATTCCAGAAGTTTGGTCCTTAAGGGGTTAAAGGGACACTATAGTGCCAGGAAAACAAACTCGTTTTCTTGGCACTATAGTGCCCTGAGGGTGCATTCATCCAGTCTATAGGAAAGCTGGCGTCTTCTTACTGTGAAAATAACTGTGAGAAGCGTCTCTAGCGGGTGTCAATGAGACAGCCACTAGAGGCTGGATTAACCCATTTGTAAACATAGCAGTTTCTCTGAAACTGCTATGTTTACAGCAGGCAGGGTTAATCCTAGATGGACCTGGCACCCAGACCACTTCATTGAGCTGAAGTGGTCTGGGTGCCTATAGTGGTCCTTTAAATTGCTAGAAATTTTCCTTTTTTTTTCATGCTAAGCAAAAAGTTAATGTCATTATTAAGGGAGTTAAATGAGACTGTGAAGTAAACACCATCTGATACTGTCACTCACTGAACGTTAGCATTTTATGTGCCATTTACATATTTGTCCATACACTATGTAAGTAATGAGAAGGTTTATATAGTAAATGTTATATAATTCTAGCCGCCGGTCATTCTCTAGTACATCACACTATTGAAAAATACTTTAAAAATCCCTTGTAACCTTTATTAACCTTTTGTTTTATGTGGATTTAACAATTGTCATCGCGATCCAGTATAGGTCTGGCACATGCAGGGCACACACTGAGTTGCAGGATAAAAACCAGAAACATTGTTTATTATGCGCTCTCCATGGTGACTTGTCAGTGCAAAGAGCAGAACTTCTAAAAATGGGACCCAAGTGGGAGGCACACACTTCCAGTATAGGGGTAAATACAGCCGTGAGGATATCGTTAATCAGTTTAAAATTTTTCGACCTCTTAATAGTTATAGTGTGTATTAAAAATCCTATGAAATTAGGATTCCTTATAAAAATTGCAGACATGAACGATAGGTATTCTATTTCCACGGAATGTACAATAAAGTCTCGACAGGAGTACTTGTCGATTCTTTTTATAAACCAAAGCAGATTATGCAACATTATTTAATACAATGGCAGACATTCCAGGATAATGTGCACTTCACCCCAATTGCACCATACAGGATAAAAGTACAACACTGCTGGATATAGATTTGTTGCAACAGAATCAGGTCACACACATCCTACAATTCCTTGGGAGATAAAAACCTATCCTGAGGTTCTGTCAAAATCTGCCACATCGAGATAGAGACACACTAATCCATTGTTACCTGTGAGCGATTGCAGGTTTGTGTCCTTCCCCTTTGCAATGCGGCACATCCTCGTGGAGATAAGCCAAGCCATGAGACATTGATTCTGCGATGTGACATAATTCGTTCCAGCTGACTACATTTCCTTTCAGGTAATCTGTGAGCGAGCCCTGCATGAAAGGAGGTTTAGAAATAAAAATAAAGAAATAAAATAGTGAACTTGCTTTGACAGAAAGGATCAGGAAGTAAATGATGCTGTAGATGCATGTGGTCTATATTTTAACCTACCTGGTATTAATCTTTACAGACAGGGTTATTCATTAGTGAGAACTGAAGGGAATGGACTAGGGAATTAAACATTCTATGCCAAAATAACTGAACCTAAAAAAAAAAAAATCATCTCCTGCTCAGCTAAATTGGCCTAAACTCTACAATGAGCTTGTCAAACCCCAGTTTAGTGAATTTCTGGAGGATTGGATGGCATCTCTGCTAATTAATTTTTGCCATCAGAACATGCAAGAAGTATTTCTTTTCCAGAAGATCAGCTCCTTTAATCAGTTACTGAAGCACGAATGACAAAGTAACAGCATCATTTTGAGGTGGGCAGGAAACGAGAACAGAGTGTGCACAAGGTACATGCGCGAATAAGAAATCTGCATCGAACCTTATCGTGAAATGCAGTTATCAGCCACAGCTCCATCTCGTGGTTTGCACCCCTCTTCTCTGCTCCAATGAATTGCAAGAGGTTTTCATGTTTCATGCCTGGGGTGTTAAATATTTCTTTTTCGCTCTGCCATGACTGCTTATCCTGGGAAACAGAAAATCTTTATGTCAGGAGGATTTAAATTAAAAAAAAAAAAATTAACGGAGGCGGAAGGAAGAAAAAATAAATCTAGTTTCACTGTACATGGAGAGTGAAGTTACTCGCAAAACTGTAATATGTGTGTTAAGATGCGATGCTATGAAAGGAAAATCTGTGTATTAAGCAATAAATGTTTTTTGTCCTACTTGTCTTGTTTGGTTAATAATGAACAACAGAAAGAGCAAGTTTTTATTTGTAAACAAATGTTAGCTAATCACGTGACTTGTATTGACTCCCAATCTGCTCATTCTATTTGTGTGGCTTTGAATTTTTAGAGAGCCAGTCAGTCTGATGCTTGTAGAAGTTTAGACAGAGAAGGTGTAATCTGATTATCACAACTGCTCAACATTAACAAAATATCTAACAAAAATACAACAATTTAACCGTATTCACAGGATGAGAAAATGATTCATGATCGTGATAACTCCGCAAAACAAGTAACAATAATAATAATAAGGAACAATGTTCAGGGCATTCTAATGTGACAAATTGTCTTCGGACTACAGAAAGAAAAGCACTTTTCTCGAATATAATGATGTGATTTTGCAGGTCTAGGAGTTTAGAATTTAAAATCAATGAAAGCATAACTTTTGTCCTTGTGGGGACTATTCCCGTCTCTATTAAGCATTTAAGTTTTCTGGGAGCCGTGCTTCAATTGAGGGATCTTTTTACCCAGCTGTATAAACATTTGTCCTATTAGCAATTGGACAGACGGTTCTGTCTAGTGAAAAGTTAATTCAACGTGGGAGCTGAAACTGCAGGCGCTTCACAAACTTTAATGAAATGGGGAAAAGATACCAGGGGCAGGACATAGCCCTCTCCACAAACAGTACATCATTCTTTCTTTAACATATATACACACAAATAGATATTATACTATACCATGTAGTAATGCTGGTCACATGATCAAAGTTAATTCTTGGATCTTAAAAAAAGGTTGTGGAAAAATGTTACCACTAGATGTGTTTTAGACTGTTAAGAGAATGTATAAACTTGCCTCCTGTAAAGCTGTACAGCAAGTCTGTCTTAAACCTAAGAAAATGGAGAGAAGTGCCGAGTCTGGCAAGTTCTCATAAAATTCCTAGAAGGCCACTGAGGTATTTTTGCACAGAAACTTGCAAATCTATCAAAATATTTGTTCTAATGAAGACAAATTGAATCAGACTTTGATTGAACAAAAACGGTTCATTTACATGTGTTTTGTACACATTTCCATTCCCCCTCCCCCCCACCAAGGAAGAACATTTTACTGAAGAGGAAGTAAGATTCCTGTCCAAATTTTCATTGTTGATATTTTTATTTAATTTAATGCTGAAGAACTTTAGAAAGTGAATCAATGGTGAATTTGCCTGACCGGAATATGAATGAATCCGGCTAACGGATCTGCCTATAATGAGTGCTGAGCATGGTATAATGAGAGCCGGGCTTAGTGATTTACAGGGCAAAGCTGAGCTTCCAAACCCCCCACCCCCCTCCCGCCCCCCATGTCTGCTGGTAAAGAGCCAAGACGGAGCGAAAGTTCAATCTGTATAGCGTTCAACGCACACAAAGGAATGAACATGAGACTCCCAGCTCGGGTAGTTTAACGTGAATAAAAGCAGTAACACCAATTTATTATAATTTGGATTAAGTTACCCTTCGCTACTGCATGAGCTCAAATTAAATAATTTGGACTTCTAATGGCTAAAATAAATCACAGTTGGACCTGCAGGGGGACAAAAGGCTGGCTTAGTAAGCTATCTCGCATTTGGATTGGGGTTCAGTTTGTTTCAGTTAAGCGGATGTGCTTTAGGGTGTAGGGATCACAAAAAACTCCTTAAAGTCACAAAGTCCTATTTTTGTTTCCTCCATCAGATTATATATATATTCTGCTGGAATTATCTTTTGATGAGGATATAAAGTAGTACATGTTGATATCTCTCAATCGATTGACAGATAGAATAGACAATATAGATAGAGAATACTTAAAGGGACACTATAGTCACCAAAACAGCTACAGCTTATTGTATTTTTGCAGAGAAACGGCATTATTTACATTACAGCCTAGGGATACATCATCTACTGGCCACTGCTCATATTGCTGCTAGAGGTGCTTCCTGGGGCAGTGCTACACAGTGTGACTGACATTTCATGTCTCCACCCTCTGCATGCAGACACTAAACTTTCCTCAGAGATGCACAGATTCAGGGTATCTCTATGTGGAGATGCTGATTGGCAAGAGCTGTGTTTGACTTGTGCTGGCTCTTCCCATGATCTGCCCTCCTTGACAATATCAGCCAATACAATACTTTCCTATGGGAAAGCATTGTGATTGGTTTTCAGCAACACTTCTGATTATGTCAGCCAAACAGGCAGAGCCAGCAGCAGAAGACTGGAGTAAAGGTAAGATAATACTATATTTATGGAGGGCAAAGATGGCCAGATGGTATTTTTAACACTAGAGTCAGGAATACAGGTTTGTGTTCTTGACCATATAGTGTTCCTTTAAGAATATCAAAGTTGTGTATTGCTTGTACGCACAACACAAGCCAACCAGTCTTTATGACAGATTTCATTAAGGATATTTAGAGAAGGAAACTCCATGCAGCAGATCTGACATTTTTATTTAAGATTAAACACATTCTCCCTCACCGGGAAAACAATACAAGAGACCACCTAGCCAATAAAGCCAGAGTATTGATTTGCTTTCAATTAGAAAATCACAAATCTCACTTCATTCCCATATGTACTTTACAGAACACTTCAGAATTTTCAATGCAGGAAGACACGTCTCTCTCAGCAATCCCTGAATGGATTTTCATTTTGCAAAAATAAAAGGCTGTAGATCTACATCAGTGGCAAGAACAAGACTAATCTACATCGAAATTCAAACCTTGTTACTGAAGAGTAAGCAGCATCTATTTTTAATTTTATATCCTTAAAGCAGAACAAGAACTATTATAATCTGGCTATATCTCCTCTACTAGAAAAACACTGCATTGTGTAATCATTCTATACCTCCTTTACTAGAACAATACTGCACTGTGTAATCATTCTATACCTCCTCTACTAGAACAATACTGCACTGTGTAATCATTCTATACCTCCTCTACTACAACAATACTGTACTATGTAATCTTACCTCCTCTACCAGAACAATACTGCACTGTGTAATCATTCTATACCTCCTCTACGAGAACAATACTGTGCTGTGTAATCATACTATACCAGAACAATACTGCACTATGTAATCATTCTATACCTCCTCTACTAGAACAATACTGCACTATGTAATCATTCTATACCTTCTTTACTAGAAAAACATACCACTGTGTAAGAACAATACTGCACCACTATGTAATCATTCTATACCTCCTCTACTGCAGAATTCTATACCTCCTCTACTAGAACAATACTGCACTATGTAACCATTCTATACCTCCTCTACTAGAACAATACTGCACTATGTAACCATTCTATACCTCCTATACTAGAACAATACTGCACTATGTAATCATTCTATACCTTCTCTACTAGAAAAACCCTGCATTGTGTAATCATTCTATACCTCCTCTACTAGAACAATACTGCACTATGTAATCATTCTATACCTCCTCTACGAGAATACTGCACTGTGTAATCATTCTATACATTTTCTATTAGAACAATACTGCACTATGTAATCATTCCATACCTCCTCTACTAGAACAATACTGCACCGTGTAATCATTCTATACCTCCTCTACTAGAACAATACTGCACTATGTAATCATCCTATACCTCCTCTACTAGAAAAACACTGCATTGTGTAATCATTCTATACCTCCTCTACTAGAACAATACTGTACAATGTAATCTTACCTCCTCTACGAGAAAAACACTGCACCTTGTAATCATCCTATACCTCCTCTACTAGAAAAATACTGCACTGTGTAATCATTCTATACCTCCTCAACTACAACAATACTGTACTATGTAATCTTACCTCCTCTACCAGAACAATACTGCACTGTGTAATCATTCTATACCTTCTCTATTAGAACAATACTGCACTGTGTAATCATTCTATACCTCCTCTACTAGCAAAATACTGCACTGTGTAATCATTATATACCTCCTCGACGAGAACAATACTGCACCATGTAATCATTCTATACCTCCTCGACGAGAACAATACTGCACCGTGTAATCATTCTATACCTCCTCGACGAGAACAATACTGCACCGTGTAATCATTCTATACCTCCTCTACGAGAACAATACTGCACCGTGTAATCATTCTATACCTCCTCTACCAGAACAATACTGCACCGTGTAAATCATTCTATACCTCCTCTACACGGCGCAGTATTGTTCTAGTAGAGGAGGTATAGAATGATTACACGGTGCAGTATTGTTCTAGTAATCATTCTATACCTCCTCTACTAGAACACTGCACTATGTCATAATTCTATACCTCCTCTAGTAGAACAATACTGCACTATGTAATCATTCTAGACCTCTTGTACTAGAACAAAGGCTACACCATGTAATTATTCTTTGAACTCTCTATTAGAACAAGACTGTTTTCCCAGTTAATTTTTACTTGATATGGAGAACTTACCTTTTTCAGAACCAGGAATTAGCCATTGACACAGTATTAAAGTTTTACAGTTTTATGTACTAGACTGGGACTGTAACACTGGTAAACTCAGTAATCAAATGCTTTATCCCTTTTTAAGGCAGCTCACCTGACTAGGAAAGATTTTTACAGCCACATAATCATTCATAAGTCGTGCTTTCCACACGCATCCAAATCGACCCCGTGCCTTGATTTCCAGTAACTGTAAAGGCTTTAGTCCGACGGTTGGCGAGGGAGGCGGAGGACCTGGGTCCTGAGGAGAAAGTAAAATACCACATTGAGCATTTATGGACATTGAGAATTCAAATGATCTTCGTTTCTTGGAACCGAACCAGCTCATTAATTAAATCAGAGTGAATAAATATAGATCACCTGCAATAACCCGAAAAATGTGAATCTCTGTATCCAAGCCAAGCTTGCATAGATACAGTGAAAACCCTTTTGAAATTCCTGCAAGGATGGCGTTAAGCAAGGAGGGGCCAAGGGTAGAAATATAACTGGATTTGTGCTCCACACTGGAAATGTAAATTAACAATACACTAATGATACATTAACCCATAGATTATGCAGCTTGCATAGACCACAATAGATTAAAAAAAGAAAACAAGGAATAATGACATCTGCAAACAACAATAATTCAGTGTTAATTTTGTCAACTAACAATTTCAGTAAAATTTTACTCAACTAAAATTTTTGAGATTTTGTCGACTAAAACAGCTTTTTAGTCAAAAGACTATCACAAAAAACGAAATTTAAATTTGCAGCCAAGATTAATACTGCACAGAAGGGCTGTGGAGGGGGGCAAAAGAGACAGATAGAGGCTTTAACTAAACCCATTTTTAGTCGTTTCGAATAAAATCGACTGGAGATTTAGTCGACCAGAACTAGACAAACAATTCAGATGACTAAAATACGACTAAAACTAAAATAGCTTTTTAGTCAAAAGACTGACTAAAGCTAAATTGAAATTTGCCACCAAAAATACATTACAAAACTTTACTAACAGAAACATGACACTGCCTCTTTAAATTAAATCATCTTTGCGTGCTCCAGGTTGTTACAGGAGAGACTAGTTTTAACAGAACTAAATGCTCCACATGCAGTTAGAAAAGGTTCTGGGTCGCTTTGGCTTTTACGGTGTTGGCAAGTTTACAAGAGCTACTTTCACTGCAGATCACGTCAGTTACGATGATGCTGGTTTGATGAAGTACTCCTCCTACAAGGGCCTTTACTGCAGCAAAGTCATAAAGCTTTCGATTTAAAGCATGTAACATTTTATTGGCAATTAGCACTTCAGAAGTAAAAGCACAGTAATTGTGCACCATTCACGAACAATCCATTGCACTGCAAAAAGACCAACTAAACAGGTTTAAAACCATTTTAAAAAGCGCAAAAAAAAACCCACACAACTTAATTTCTTAATTTTAATGTCATAAGAAAAGCGTGCATTGAAATTAAATCTGTTACAGATTGGAAATTTCCAGTGGTCAGGCATCAGCTAATTGCTCATGCATAATTAAATGATTAAAATCGATTGATTTAAACAAACATAATGAAACTGAAGGGACACTAGTCAACCGTGTTTTGCTACAGGTTAAAAATGTGTGATAGATAACAAAACAAAATGCACTTTACTAGTCTGGAACAAACACAGAGATTAAAGAAAAGGTACATACAAGCTTTGTGTATGTACACCCTAGGGTATTACATGGCCAATCTTTCTGTCATAGTAACTGGAAATATTCTTAACATCGTAAAGCAACATTCTAAACACAACATGCTAAATTGCTTTGTGTGTCTGTTTGTGCCTGTGTTCTTTCCTTCCATTTATAAAAAAGCCAATTTTAACAAAAATTGACACTTTCATAAATTACAGCTGTAACACTGTCTGACAGTAAGTGTTTTTTTTCTGTTAGTTCCACTGAGCTTGGCTAGAGTGCGCCTGTTAATACTTCTCTGTAAGCTGTAGCACAGTACTGATAACAGTGAATACGGCTAGTTGGTAGAGATTCGGCAACGCAGTCTGTGCGGTGAAAGAGGGATGGGCTTGCAATACCTACAGATACTACATCTGCAGCTATTGCCACGTATTTTCCCCTATACTCCCAATGAAAACCTGCAAAAGAAAATATTTAGTAGGTATACCTACTAAATTTTTCAGAAAAATATAAAAACGCTCTAAATTTCCTAAAGGAAAAGTAAACCGAAAGTCTGTGATAGACCAGAAACGTCTCATTTAAATAGACAGAGGTAAATGAAGGCTGTAGTGTGCTAGTTTCTAAACAGTTAAAAGATATACAAACTTTAAAAACATGAAAAAAATATATTTTTGCTTTTTTTTTCTAGAGCATGTTTAATAAAATAAATAAATAGGAAAAAATATATATTTCCTTCATTTTACCCTTCTGTAAGTCTTTATATATTCCCTTTTTAAAATATCTAAACAATTCTATTTTTTTTATCCAACTCTCTCACTTTGAGATGTCCCTTTAAACAGCATATAAACCACATTCACCTGTGCGAACTTAATCAGACCACACAAAACTCGTAATTAATTAACTATCTCATCAATGCTCCAATTTCCCTTTCTTTGCATATTCATTTACAATAAAAATAAAACAAATTGCAAATCCTAGTTTAAACATGCTTTCACTGAGGTTTCCATTCATGACTAGTGTACCAATGACTTATTTATTCTTCTATTTTCTGATCATATACAAGAAGCCTTCTGCAAACGTTCTAGCTTGTTTACTCATCTCAAACTCAACACTTGATGTGTGTACAGAATTCCCTTAAGGATTGCATAGAAAGGGAATATCAAAAACCAAAAATGGTTTGTGTACAAGGTATATCTGCCTCACTGTGCCCTTTTGTAGACACAAGAAATACTGAACCTTCATGTCAAAGGGAAAATGTGAAAATGGCTCGAATCTCAGTACCAGCTCCTCGTCATCAAAGGGGTGAAGGAAAACTCACCTCGTTAATGTCAACATGCCCATAGGGAGGCTTTCGATGGCGATACATCCAAAACGCTAAGAGAATGGCCATCGAGAGACCAGCAATAGGAAGAAGGGAATACACTAAAATGTTCAACAATGAGGCTGCTGGTTGTGACTTTGCATCAAATGTCCCTAAATAAAGAAGAGGACAAAAAAAAAATGGGGGGGGGGGAAGGGGGGAAGAGGAGAAAGAAATAGAAGTTAATCATGGTCAATAAACTTAGAAACAGGTTTTTCAACTAAACACACAACCTTGCACATACATTACATTAGAGCAGAGATCTACACAACCTCAAGTATTTTTTTTTTGGACTCGCTCTGTCAAGTATTGGTTTCAGAGCTGCGGAAAATGTTGGTGCTATATTTTATAAACCAGAATACTATTAATGAAATGATCCAATAATTTGGATCTCCATTTGTGTGTAATTATCTTACTTTTTCTGTGATTTGCAAAGCATTTGTGTGAGAAAACGCTCACATTCTGTATATCTTTAGAGGTACCGTAGGGATAAGAAAGAGCATTTTTCTTCTTTTCTTTTATAACGGGCACTTTTACAAGAAACAAGACAACTAAAACGTACAAAAGAAGCTATTCAAAAATCCAATTCATTGTGAACATGTGATTTAGATCGCCTGCTCATTATACTTACCATGTTTGACTATATATCTGGCCGACGATTTTCTTGCTCCATATTCTTTAATAAAAAAATAAATAAAAACAAAAAAAGTTACAAAAAGAATTGGAGAATAAAAAAGGAAATAAATTTAAAGAAAAGTTTCATATACAAAACATATTTTGAATTAGATAGCTTATTGATTTCATGGAGCTAATAAAATTAAGCAATATTCTCATTTAGAAGAGATTTATAAAGGACAATATTACTTTTTATGTATATTTTCATGGCATTTCAATAAAAGTAAATATCTTCAGACATTAGAACAATAATTTCTTCTTCCTCCAAATTTAGACTTGTAAAACCCAAGGATTTTTAGATTCACTTTGCATGTAGAACTGGGTGGGATTCAGTTGACCATCCTGGAACCCAAAATCACGATCACTGTATAATCTACATCAGGGTTTCCCAACAAAATCCTTGAGGAACACCAACAGGCTCGAGAACCACTGATCTAGACAGCCCCTGCTATTCTCACCTACCTTTACCAGCACAATTCCAATTTTCCTCCACAATGTAACTTTACCTGCCTATACCTATAATTTAGTCCGTTACATTATTAGAGGAAGGGTTACGCATGGTTTGGACTGAAATTCGTGATCACATGAAGGGGGTCTCTCTATATAACATACAGTATGTTCCATCACAAAGAATAATAAAATCTCACCACAATTACAATAAAGTACCATTACCAATAGATAAGAATACTAAAAAAAAAAAAAATTTGAAATTAAAAATAAAAAGTCACAATACTTAAACAAAGTGCTAAATCACCAATAAAATGTTTTTTAATATATGACTGATGCGATTGAAAACAAAATGTAATATGACAATTCCCAAAGCCTTGTAGTGGGCAGGTGGACTTTTTGTCCTCCAAGTCAAATACTTTATTTTTTGTTCCCTCGGTTTTGTTCATTCCCATAAAGATCTCACACATACTGGGAAACATTTTCTCTTGACTTGCAGCTGTTCATGTAATCACATATGATTGCATAACAGTTTAAAAACAACTCCCCTCAGTTTATTGTCTAATGACTACATTTGGAGACTTTCTACATAAGCACAAAGTTTGACTAATCTGGTGTCTCGGACACTGGAGAATTCCTTGGGGAATGCATGCGCTGTTTGGGGAAGGGGAAAAAAAATAATAAAAAAGCGCCTCACTGCAGCTGATTAATGTCTGTCTGCACTGTGCTAATGGCACAATCCCAAAAGAGGGGACTTTGCAACATCAGTATAGCAGACAAAACAATACAATGGGAGGTCTGTCCTGTATGGAATCTGAAAAATAATCATTCTACAACCTCTATAGCCTCACCCTTTCTACGACAGCTCAAAATCGCTGTTCTTCGAGAAAAGATCAAGGATTTACTGAATGCTGCAGGAACAAAGGAGCTGAACTTCGCAGAAGTAGAGCATTCTTTGTCCAACGTGAGACGCTCTCTTGCAGCAAAAATTCTGTTTTAGATGATGCTCGGTTATAAATCCTCTGCAACATGCTAAATGTATTAGGGAGTAGCAAGGATGGCCAATTCAATAAAAGCATTAGCCTTTGATCATCTTTAGTAGCAGAAGAGAGTTACAAAACAGTTACAGATTTAAAAGTACTCGAGGTGACCACGGATTTATATTCCAAATAAACATAGCTGATCATGTCTGCTAGTAAGATATTGGAAATGTTCAAGAATCAGAAGAGCGACACATGGGTAACACAAATCTCCTTCCTCGAGGATCATCCGGAATACAATACAAACAATAATCTAACAATGCAGATTAGTCCTGAATCCATAAATCTCTATTTTCTGTTATTTGACAGCACAGTGCAGTACATGACAGTATTTCATTATAACCAATACTGCAGTGGTTATGGTGCAAAGAGGATTTAAGCCCCCTCCCTCTGTTTGCATCAAACCATTCTGAGCAGTTTAAAGGATGGGGGGTGGAGGGAAGGGAGAGCTGTGGGGGTTTTTTTGTTTGTTTTTTAGCAACCAATGTGTAATTCACATTCTGTGGCTCGGACAATGTTGCAGTAGTTTACTTCGGCATTAACTGTTCAACCTGGTACTTCAAGGACAGGCTACAAGTTTCTATGAGTAATGCAAAATTCAAACTCTTTGTACTGTAACCACTACAATAAGCTATGGTGGTTATAGTGCTATTTAAATGGAAAATGCAAGCAACATAACCAGAACGGCTTATTGAAGAGGTTGCATCACAAGAACACACACCGATTGCAGACTCGACAACTTTACTTTTCAAACAGCCCTGTGCCTCACAAATGATAATCAGCAATGCTTACTTCATTAAAAATCATATTAGGACAAAAAATAGCAATCAAATAAGGCGGGAGTGAAGCAGTGGAGGACAGAGTAGAGTGCTGCCCTTTAGGAGAGAGTAAGAGATAGGTATGTGAGGTAGGGGTTACTCAGAGAGGCCATAAGCTTTCCTAAAGAGATGGGTTTTAAGGCACTTTTTAAATTATTGAAGACTAGGGGAGAGGCTGATGGGGGTAGGCAGGCTATTCCTTAGGAAGTCCTGCAAGCGTGAGTTGGCCGGAAGGGCGCGATCATCGGACAGGAGAAGGTCACGGGCAGAGTGGAGAGACCGAGAAGGGGCATACCTATGGATCTGTGAAGAGATATAAGAGGGGCTAGAATTGTTCAGTGCTTTATAGATTTGGGTTAGAACTTTGAATTGACTCCTATAGGATACAGGAAGGCAATGTAAGGACTGACAGAGGGGTGAGGTGTGAGAGGACCAACTGGAGAGGAAAATCAGTCAGTCGACAGCATTAATTACAGACTGTAGCAGGGCAATACGGCTTTTGGGAAGAGCAATTAGGAGAGGATTACAATAATCCATGCGGGGAATTACTAGTGCATGGACAAGCCCCTTAGTAGAATCTTGCGTAAGAAAGGGGCGGGATCTACAGGATTTGGCAACATACTGGATGTGCGGCTCAAAGGTGAGGCCAGAATCAAGTATGACGCCAAGACAGCGCGCTTGCAAGGATGGACTTATGTGGATACCACTAACTTGAAGGAAGAGAGAAAGAGGAGGATCAGTATTAGGAGGAAGAAAGACAATGAGCTCAGTTTTAGAGAGCTTGAGTTTCAGAAAGCGGTAGAACATCCAGTCAGAGATGGAAGAAAGGCAAGCAGTGACACGTTGCAGGACGGCAGGGGAGAGCTCTGGGGAGGAGAGATATATCTGGGTGTCATCAGCATACAGGTGGTAGTGCAATCCAAATGAGGTAATAAGTTTGCCAAGAGAGGCAGTATAAAGAGAAAATAAAAGGGAACCAAGGACAGAACCTTGGGGGACCCCAACCGAGACAGGAAGAGAGGAGGAGGTATCATTAGAAAAGAAGACACTGAATGAGCATTGGGAGAGATAGGAGGAAAACCAAGAGAGGACAAAGTCACAGAGACCGAGTGATTGAGGAGTTTGAAGTAGGAGAGCATGATCAACGGTGTCAAAGGCCGCTGAGAGGTCAAGAAGAATTAATATGGAGTAATGGCTTTGGATTCAGCTGCATTAGGTCGTTAGTAACTTTGATAAGAGCAGTCTCAGTAGAGTGGAGATGGCGGAAGCCAGATTGAAGAGGGTCAAGAGAGTTGGAATTGAGACATACGGGTAAAGACAAGTCTTTCCAGAAGCTTTAAGGAAAAAAGGAGCAGGGATATTGGACGATAGTTAGAGGGGGGGATGGGTTAAGAGATGCTTTTTTCAGGATAGGTACTACAGTGGCATGTTTAAGGCCAGCAAGGACAATGCCAAAAGAGAGCAGTTGAACATGTGTGTTAAGGAAGGAACAAGACAGGGGGAGAGAGATCTGATAAGGTAAGATAGGACAGGATCAAGCCACCTCTTGTTCAGTAGATGGGGAGAAAGTTTGAAGGGTAGGAAAGGCATGATCAACGTGTGGTTGAGAAAGAACGGCAAGGTGGGGAGAATTATTTCCTTAGCTGTTCAATCTTGTCGATAAAGTAGCATGCAAAGCTATTAGCTGTAAGGTTAGTTTGGGGGGTGGCCACAGCAGGGCGAAGAAGAGAGTTAAAGGTGTCAAAGAGATGCCTGGGATTGCATGAGCACGAACTAATGAGAGAGGAAAAGTATGACTGTTTGGCAAAGGCAAGGGCTGAGTTAATTTTTGGAGATTTTAATTACCTGGACATAAATCGGGATAGAGATACTAGTAGTTCAACAAGGGGAATCAGGTTTTTAAACTTGTTAAATGACACTTCCATGTCACAACTGGTACAAGCACCAATTAGAAAGGATGCTTGTGTGGATCTGCTTATAACAAACAATGTTTATCTTTTGATTAACATTCAAGTGGGGGAGCACGTGGAATAAATGAAATAACTTCAAACAAATATTAGAAAGGTATAGTAATCAATATGTACCATTGGGTAATAAATATAGAAGAAACAAATTGAAACCAATGTGGCTTATGTAGTTACACTAAAAACAGAGAGTGTGTTAGTTATTGAAGACCAGGAAAAGGCAGAAATGTTAAATATTTTTTTTTCCCTTAGTATATATTAAAGAGGAACCTATGGCTAGAGATGGGCAAATGATTGCTGCAAACAATTTTCTTTCAGGAATTGTACTGGAGGCAGATGTTGTTCCTATATTCAAAAAGAGTTCCAAATCTATGCCTAGAAACCCCTAAAGCACTTTAGCTTGCTGAAAAGCTGTGTGTGTGAAGAGTGTCTTTTTTTATTTATTTTTTGCAAAAAGTGCAGCTTTCAATAAAAAAAAGTTCATGAATTTACCTGGTTACATCTCTCTGGCTTTCAAGCAATCAATCCTGTTACTTCCTGGTTATGTTAGTTCAGCGGAGCAAAACTCAAGAGGCCGCAATTGCCCAGAGCCCTTCTCACTGAGCTGCATTGGGAAGTCTATGATTGGACAGTTGGGGAAGTCTGGGTGGCGTTAGAAGGGGAGGGCTTGCAAATGATGCAGACATGAGAAATGCATGTTTTATAAGCGGTTTTCAGATATAACCCCCTAATGAAAAAAATGCATTATTAACTTCATGTATGTTTCCATTGAGGGTATATCTACTAAACAGTGAATTTATTTATTTTGTGTTTGAGCAGTGGAGTATCCATTTAACTTCTGTGGCTGGTAAAATATTTTAAGAGTCTTTGAGGGATAATAAGGAATTCACTGGGAAGAATATGGTTATTAGCAAAAATCTGTATGGTTTTAAATAACATGTGTTATCTCAAATTAGCTTAATTGCATTTTATGAAAAAGCAAGTAGAAGTATATATCATGGTGTTGCAGTGGATGTGATCTACTTGGATTTTGCCAAGGCGGTTCGACAAAATAAGGTTAGTGTTCAAATGATAAGAAATCTAGATGAAAATGTTTGTTCTTGGGTAGAACATTGGCTTAAAAAAAGATACAGAGAGTTGTCATTAATGCTAAATGTTTAAACTGGACAAAAGTGGTAAGCGGTATCCCTCAGTGTTTGATTCTGGGACCACTTCTATTGAAAATATTTATAAAAGATCTTGAAATAGTAATTGAAAGCCATGTTTCAGTGTTCTCAGATGACACAAAACTCTGTTAAGTAATACAACGTGAGCAAGATATTATTTTACTTCAGGGGAATTTAGATATATTGGGGGACTGGGCATTCAAATGGAAGATTAAATTTAGGGTAGATAAATGCAAAGTTATGTAATTCGATGTGAAGAAAGCACTAGCAACTTAAAGCGTAAACTGTAGTGAATTAGGGACAACACATGAGAAGGACTTGGGAATGCTAGTAGACAACAAACTAGGCAACAATAGGCAATGTCAATCAGCAGTATGGCCAGTAAGGTATGGTCATGTATGAAAAGGGCATTAAAATTCTCAGGAAGAAAATATAATTTTGCCTCTTTATAAATCATTGGTAAGACCACACCTTGAATATGCTGTGCAATTTTGTGCACCTGTTCTAAAGAAGGACATTAAGGCACTAGAAAAAGTGCAGAGGCGGGCTACAAAATTGATAAAAGGAATGGAGCATTTTAGTTATGAAGAAAGGTTAAATTTAAATCTGTTTAGTTTCGAAAAATTTACGCCTCAGAGGGGTTATGATAGCATTATACAAATGTATTTAGGGCCAATAGAAACCACAGTCTGGGAATCTATTCATAAAATTGGACTATACATAGGACACAAGGTCACGCATTTAGACTGGAAGAAAGGAGATTTAGTCTAAGGCAAAGGAAAGGGTTTTTTTACAGTAAGAACAATAAGGACGTGGAATTATTTGCCTGAAGAGGTGTTTTTTTTTATCAGAGTCTGTACAGATATTTAAACAGCAGCTGGATGAATACTTGCAAAAATGTTTTTTTCCGCTAGTTTGTTGCAAAATTGGAAAGCACTTCCAACTGAGTTTGATGTCAGAAAGGCTAAACTTGATGAATGCATTTCTCTTTTCGGTCTATGTAACTATGTAAAGAAGGATTCTTCTGTCTTCTTAATTGAGATCATGTCCTCCTGTTCTGTTAACAGACAAGGGAAACATCACCTACCTTTTTAATTCTAGCCTACAGTCATATGATACAAGGGGAAATCACTGACTGGCTGGAGAACTTTGTTGCCATAGCAGCAAAAAAAATAAAAAATTAACAGGCTTAAAAATGTCAGTGCTGTTTACAGACATTTTATGCTATTGAGGAAAAAGATTATTCCTTTACTTACTACACATGCCAAAACGCTCAGAAATTTAAAAATCTCATCAGAATAAATTAACAAGCATTCAACATGTTTTTTTTCTCCTTTTTATCTCCAAGGTAAACATATTATGTTGATTCATGCATAAAGATGAACTCGTTAACGGTACACACGTTTATGACTACATTTGGACAAATGAGGTGCAGAGAAAATGGGTTTTGGGTAGAAGAAACTATCGGAAAGATTTATCAGAATGTTCTGTTCTAAAACATAGTGCAAAAAAACCCCTATGAATAATAATAAATAAAGTAAAAGTAAACCTTTCTTAATAGAATATGCTTGCTGGTTCCACCGGTTTCCATGGTCACTAAACCATGTTTAGTACATTAAACCACTTTTTAGAACCGAGAACTTTGGCATAATTCCCCATGTATCTATCTTGGGTTAACAGAGGCCATCTCTGGTCTTTGATTGGTGGAAGTGGCAATGTTTGAACTGGTTCGATCAAGAATGAATTCTAGGTTTGGTGTATTAAACATTAATGAATGGCAATATATTACATAATGACATAATGCTATCTATGGCCTTCATTTTACAGTAACCTAAATAAGCACATTCTCTTTGATTTTATTTATTTGCTCGTTTGTATGGTTATCGTTTTTCTTCTACTGGTCTTACATGTCCTCTAAAAAAAATATCAAACCCTGTAATAATGCCCAAACCATGTGCACACATTAGGCTAGAACCTTGTTTGTCAATTTGTACCCACTGTCTGGGCAGCAGAACACTTGTAATGTTATTTAACAAGTATTGGGTTTGTGTAAACAATTCGATTGAACAATCATAATTTAAATATTTCACAAAGGTTGGGCAAGACAGAGGTTGGGGAGGGCGGTGACCCATGAATACCATTATTCCCCAAGTTTGAAACTATTTGAAAGTAACATGTGGAAAGAAAAACGTTTGGAAAGGATAGGCAAATTTTTAAAACAAAGTAAAAGAAGGAAGTTGTATTGCATTTACATAAAGATCAAAACTTTGATTAATGTTTTCTTTTATACAAGATCCTTTCCTGATCAAATGCCAGCATTTACCTATGGGTTAGCTCCTTCTCTCACAGCAGAAAGGACAGGAAATAGGGCTCTGAAATGAATATAAACATGTATACCCCTTCCACCAGTGTTTCTTCCTGTCCTTTACAGCAGTTAGGAAGGAGTCTTCTTTAACAGACCAATATATTTGTAGGCCGGGTTTCAACCGCTAATCCCTGAAGACCCAGCAAACGGCACATTGCTAGACTGGATTCCCTGGGTGACCCCCTTTTAGTTACCAGGGGGTGTGATCTAACTCTCGCCCTGAGGAAATGACAATTCCGTTAAAGAATTACTCTGACTGATGTAGCAGTTTGCATAAATTAACCTGTAGATTCCAACCAAGGACCAGATTTTACTATTTTTGAAAAATATTCTAATATGTGGATATATTTTATAATTTTTTTTTATATATATTTCTTTTTATCCTAAACTATTAATTCATTTGAAAAGCTTATAAAAAAAAAATATATTCAAATCTGGGCCCAAGTTTTTACACATGGTATGAAGATAATGAAAAACACCCATCTCCGTCTTAATAGCAATCTATGGATTTCTGTTGTAAATTTTTTTTCTTTCTTTTTTAACATTCCAAACTGTTCTGTATATCAGCTGCTGTTTACAGTGTATTTCACATGAACATCAAACTTTTTCATAATTTATTCATATAGCGCCAACATATTCCGCCGTGCTCTAGAAATGTAAAAATGTTGCAGGATATCCTGATCCCAATAACTCACAATCTATGGGAGATTCAGAATACTCCTCTCATCAAAAGGCACTTTGCCTGTTCTATCCTTACACCTGCAAGGTAAATGCGGTCATGTGGATACTTACCATCTGGTAAATGGGTAAATTTCTCGTTGCAATAGTTGCCCTCACAACAGCAGAAAAACACTTGGGGATTCTCTTCTTTTGCTACGCATTCCTGCCTGGAAGTCCAAGGAAACATAATTAGTTAGAACACAGATGTCCCCTGTTCTCAGATTATTACCCCTAGTATTTTTGGTATTAATTCAAAGATCATACCTCCCAAGATTTCAAATGGACAAAGAGGGAGACCTTAATATTAGGTTGTGAGTGGTGGTGTGGCCAAGAGTGGGGCTGTTCTGAGACATTTTAGGTTGCTTACTAATAATTTATACAACTAAAATGTAATTTAGAACAAATTAACAAAACAAAAACAAAAAAACACAAACAAGAATATTGTATCTTATTTGCACAGACTGGTTTCTAAATACAGTTATTGAAGGTTAAATACATTACTGGGAGTATTATTGCTGTGAAGTTCTGTTATACACTCAGACGCATTACTGGGAGTATTATTGCTGTGGAGCCCTGTTATACTGAACACGCAGATCAATTGCTCTTCCTAAATTTCTACCTCAAACTGATATTACTCTGTCAGTATTCGGTGTAGTCTTCTGATTTTGCCGCAGGTCACACATTATGTGACCAAGTTCACAGTTTGAGGAAGGAGAGGTGAACAGTGATAATAAATGCTGATAATAATAACAGCCAATGTTTTTGGAGTGGGCCTAAAAGTGAAAGGGGAATTTCAATATAACCACTAGCGAAAATGAGTCCAAGGTAGCTTGTTTTATCACTATACAATGACTGATTTGGAACCGCATTTTGGGCCAAAATAGCTCTGAACTTTGGCCTAAAATTACATGGAAAATAACTTTATGAACCATATCTTAAAAATATTGTGCATGCAGACATTCCCTACTGCAACAAATAACTACATACAATGAATTTCACCACAGGTGACAGGAACGAGCCCATACCTAACCCCTCATATACATGTTTCACGTCATTATGCAAACAAAAGTAAAATAAGATTGCATTTCGGTTTTCAACTAATTTCACGGTTTTTCTTTTGTTTTGTTTTTTTACCACAGTGTTACACAAGGTAATGGCTGTTTTGTCATTTCTTTGCAATGGGACAATAAACAAAAATATACACCAATACCCATCCCCAAGTATCCCTGATTTAGCAGATCGTCCCCAGTTTTGGTCACCTGCACCACAGTCTCAGGTTTGTAACTGAAGTGTCAACCTTCTTAGGAAACAAGGGGAAAATGTGCTACAAAACAAAAGTCAGGATTTTCCTGCCTGTAAAGAGTGCTTTGACAGCACTCACGGCAACCCTGGGAGAAGCTGGTCAATGAGCACTCACGAGACTCCCTATTTTTGGCAGTTCTCATTTTGGTAGTTATTTGTTTTCAAATAATAATAAATGATGCGGAAAATTGAGACTCAATGAGTCCGTGATTGAGACTTAATGAGTCTTTGAACATTAGCTAATCCTGAGGTAGTCTTTACGGACTAAATTATGGACACACCAACACAGGGTGGACTTATAAGTTGCAAGTGAAAAGTAACCCCACCTCCTGGAAGTATCAAGGGATACCTACAGTTCGGTCCTGGGATTTTGGCCACATACTGACACCTACCAAGAACCTGCACTGCACTGTGAATGTTTACATGGTGTGTTCAATAAAAACATGGCAACATTTCATTCTTTGTGTGTTATTAGTTTAAGCAGACTGTGATTGTCTATTGTTGTGACTTAGATGATCAGATCACATTTTATGACCAATTTGTGCAGAAACCCATATCATTCCAAAGGGTTCACATACTTTTTCTTGCAACTGTATGTCTGTAATACTGTGTATCAGGATTGATATTCGTCTCCATTACTCCTGAATTACAGGGAAAGACCACCATGTGTGTTGGTGTGCCTGTCCCTTAGGAGCACCTCCAGCATATGTTACAGGCAGTCGTGAAGAGCTCGTGCAATTTATCTCGCGAATAGTGCCATCGAGAAATTCTCTTGTAATTTGCCTCTATTATGCTACAACTAATAGTGGTTGTGTGTATTTGGTGGACCATTCTGCTGGTGTTAGCGTGATTTAGAGGTCTGCAGCCCATGATGATGTGAACGTGGGTAGCTGGTCTTTGTACTCAAGTTGTAATAATTTGTAGAGAGATGTTTGATCTTTACACTGCGAGAGTGGCACTTTGTTTCAAAGTCAGACTAGGGATGGTCCACTTTCAGTAGTATCGGTTCTGACTGTTTGAAGTGTGAAAGTTGGTCATTTAAAAAAAAAAAAAAAAAAAATTTTTCCAAAGGTGATGGTTGTGCCTTGTGCACTATGATAGGTAATAGTCTTAGGAAATTATCCTCCAAAAGCGAGCCTAAAGTGAGGTATTTAGAGTTGTTAGGTGGTTTAAATGCAGTGGTTTGGAGACCAGGTGGGAAGACGGGATTCTGCGTCATGGGGTAGAGAGGAGATGGGTGTAGGGATATGTTATGTTATTTATTAATGTGGTTCCAAAGTTTAAGGGTTGGTATGATCGTTGGGTGTGATTGGTTTTGTGGCTATGGATGATGGAGGGTAGTCCAATCTGTCTGGGTTTAGGGCCAGTAATGGACTCGTAAAAATTGGGCACAATGATTGGTTTCCAGATCAGGTCGAATGAGGATGGGCCTTTTCAACCTTGGTGGGTTAACTAATGAGGTTACTATAAATGGTGTATAAACAAAGATATTTGGTACGGGGTGTCGTAACATCCACTATTTGGGTAATAATAAGAGCGTAGAAGAGGGATGAGAAGGGGGAAGCAATTTCCGCTATAGGCTGCGGGTCAGAATTTCTAATGATTTTAAATGGAAAACAGCTGGCTCCACAACAATAGCAAAAGTTTCCCCCTGGCATTGCTCGAAAGGGGTGAGCCAGCAGTACGTTTCCCTGGGTGCTAGCATGCAGTAGGTGCTCAGTGTCAGAGTTTTATGTGGTGGGGTTCCCCCATTTCCTCGCAAATATTATAACAGACATATAGCAGAATAAACAAAACCAGAATAAATGTAAACTTAGGACAGAAGAGACATATAGTGGTAAATAGGTAATGGCAAACGCTGAGATAGAGTCAGAAGAGAGTAAAGCAATAAATAGAGATATTTTTTTCTTTTCTGGACAGGTTGGTCATTGCCGACGGAGAAAAGAGAGGGGACTGAGTGAAGAGAGGAAACAGGAGAGGGAAGGAAGAAAAGAAGACGCAAATAGTAAACAGAGTGAGTATACAGGACTGAGTTCAATGAATCTTACGGCATGAATATCACACTTGAATGTTGCACCGGTATGGTGGTGATCAGGTGCTGGATATGAAGGTAAAGTCCAAGTCCAATTAACTGGAAAGGAGCGAGTATGAATGGTACGAGATAATAATCAGCTTTGTCAGACCTTCTCCATCCCAGGTGCTTTTTGTGTGGGCTGCTGTATTAACATGGATGGTTAGTGGTGCTCTGCTTTTCCCCTCGGGGAGGATGAGGTTGATGCCAGTGCACCGTGCTCATTTCTCCTCTTCGTTGGAATCTGTTGACAGCCTTGTCGCTGTAGAAGGTGAAAAAAAAAAAATCGGTGGCGTAAGAACTGGTCCATACCAATCAGGAATTTGAACTGTTGGTAAGTCTAAGGGTTGTAAAATGCAGTAACATCTTTCACCGAGTGAATGGAGTGTAGTGATCCCCTGTGCATTACACTAAGGGCAAAGGGGAAGCCCCATCTATAGCAGAGGTTTCTAGCCCTGAGATTGTCGATGACAGGTTTAAGTGCACGCCTGGCTTGTAGCCAGGGCAAGTCCGGGTATATGGAGATTGGAGTTTCATGGTATAGGAGAGTTTGGGATGATTGGCGAAGGGCCTTCAGGATGTCCTCCTTGCACGAGTAATAATGGAGGCTTGTCGGCTGGGGCCCCTCTGGATCTAAGAGCTCTATCCGCCCTACCCATCAGTATTGGTTTGTCAGTGGGTCTCTCTCTGTCTCCCATGTGGTGTAAATCTGTGCCGATTGAGTCCAATTTAGACTGGAACGAAACTTCCAATTTCCCTAGCATCTTGGCTAGGTATTGTTTGGATGGCAAGTTTTTTAATACATCCTTGACGTCTTGATCGTTTTGCGATAGGGATTGTTCTGAGTCCCCAGGGCTGGATGGCGGCAATGTAATGCCTGGTGACTCCGGCCCATATTGGGGCCTACCATGGACGGGTGAATGTCCGTTTGGTCCTGAAAATAATTGGTTACGGCACCCGATTTACTGGACGCTTGTTAGGATGATGCAGCTCGCTTGAGGTGACCCATTTCTATTTTTTATGCCCGATGGTTGCGGATTGTGTCCTCTGAAGCTCGGAGCTCCGCTAGAATGCGATCATACAGGTTGATGGTTCATCTGCTCTACACTTGTGAGTGTGTATCTCTCCTTTTTATTTTTTTCAGTGTTGAAACAATATCACACTATATATTTTCTAATTCTCTTTCCCTTTTTTTGTGTACGAATATCTGTTACCTCTTTGAATGGTTTGAGAAAAATGTTTGTGGAAATTTTTCTGCACTTTACACTTGTGTGGCACTAATATTAACAAAGTGTTATATAAAGCATTATTGATTGCACTTTATTTAGTCATTGCAATTTTGCAGAAAATAAGTACTGAATTTTCACATTAAAGATTTAAAGACACAGTGCACCTTTTTATTTTATCCTTTTGAACTTGCAAGTATTTGTATTCACACCTAAAAGTTTTTTTTGTGTATGTATGCCCTTAAAATAAGATTTTAAGGGAGCGGGGCCTGACCGCTGGCTGGATCAGACGTGCTCGGTCTGAGCTCCCGCTCCAGGCCCGGAAAAATCGGCATTAACCAGAGACTAAACACCAGCGACAAAATCGACCCCCAGCTGCTGGCGAACACAGGGACACCCGCCAAGACCCTGCCTGGCACCAGCAATGACCCGACATGGGCCCGGAACAAATGGGAGCTTGAGCCGGGACGAGACAGCCCTGATTGGTGCACCAGTAGTTGCCCGTTTAGATGACACCCCCCCCCGGTCCAGAGGGGGGGGGTGTCATCCCAGTCTACACGGGCAACTACTGGTGTACCATTCAGGGCC